GAACCTGGGTTAGCTGTGGACTCTGGCTGGGCAAATCATTCTTCTCTCCCCCTAAATCTCCATTTCAAACCTGGGAAGAATGGTGTCGGAGGGAGAACCAGTTGGCAGGCAAAAAGGGGATCCAAAAAAAGTGTGACAGTTGTGTCCAACTCCTGGTGACCCCATTTGGGGTTTTCTTGCAAAGACTGGATTGGTTTGCCATTTCCATCTCCCACTCGTTTTACAGATGAGGAAACTGAGGCAAACAGGGTGAAGTGACTACACAGCTTAGCAAATGTCTGAGGCCAGATTTGAACTCAGGAAGATGAGCCTTCCTGACTCCAGGTCCAGTGCTCTATCCGTTGTGCCACCTAGCTGCCCCTCATTGGGCCCATTGAACAGTGTGGATTTCCTAGAGAGCAGTATAAAGTCTTCTGCTCTCCAAGAGTTCAAGATCCCTTGTAGAAGGTGAAGTGACATGGCCAGATAGGTGTCTATCTGAAAAAAATCTGTGTTTTGATAAACTGCAATTCCTTGTGAGTCTGAAGTGTGATAGGGCAGCCAGAAAAAGCTGAGGAGCTCATGGACTCCTCCTGGGAAAGGAGGGGCGGGGAGAATCCTTTGTCCTGCACTCAAACCACACCTGGAGTGTCTGTTCAGCACTGGGCTGCATAGGTTAGGAAGGGTACAGATAAGCTAGGAGTGTCCTGAAGCGGTCAAGAACCTTGAGACCCAGCCTAAGGACAGGCTGAATGGTCTAGGGATGCTCAGCCTGGAGTAGAGAAGGCGGCTGGGGGAGGAGGTGGGGATGCCAACTGTTGTGGAAGCGTTTGCGAGGTCGTCATGTAGAATCCGGTTCACGCTTGGTCTGGTTGGCAGAAACCATAGGTGAAAGTCATCAAGAGGCCACCAAGGAAGGGAGATGCAAGATGGGTGGAGATGCCATCCTCAGGCTGAGGCCTGGTGGCAAGGAGATTTAATTAGGTGGTAGAGAGAACTGAAGGAATGGGTCCATGAATGGCTCTCGGATCTGCAGCCCAGAAGCCAGGTTCTGTGAAAGTCTTCCCTTCAGCAGCCCTGAGAAATTGGGGGTCTTGACCACTGTGACCATTCTGGGGAGACCATGTTGGTTCTGGGGACTGGGGTCTCCTGCTGTGGGGGAAGGGAGACTTTGGCTGACTGCACCCCTCCTTGTCTTTCTGACAGACTTGGGGTTTGGACTTTATTTGATTAATAGCTGACTTTCTATAGCACTTTTATGTTTACAAAGAGCTTTAGGGACAGTTCAGACATTCTAAGTACCTACTTGGTGCCAGGCACTGTGTTGGGATACAGAGACAAAAGTGAAACAACGCCTGTCCTCAAGGAGCTTCCACTCTACCCAGATGAATAAATAAAAGAAACAGGATATCCTCAAACTCTTGGGACACCTTGCATAGAGAAAGTATTAAGGGGAGTGGTACCAGGAAAGGCCTAGGGCCTCTGAGGTGGTATTTCAGTTGAGCTTTGTAAAATTCTATTTTATTTCAATTCACAACAATTTACCTTTTTTCCTTCCCACCCTCCCCCACTGAACTAGAAAGAGCAGCCTTAGAGCAATATCAATACGAGGTCAAACAGAACAGACTCCCACGTCGGCCAAGTCCAAAAATACAGCTCTCAATCTGCTCCCAGAATCCATCACTTCTCGGTCAGCAGGTGGGCAGTAGGTTTTATTACGCTCACCGGTCATGACACTGATTCGAAGTTGTTTGTCTCTATGATATTGTTGTCATTGTATACATTGTTCTCCTGGTTCTGCTGCCTTCGCTCTGCATCAGTTCATACAAGTCTTCTCGGTTTTCTTTGAAATGTCCCCTTCAGGACCATGTAGACCAATTTCCTCATTTCACAAAAAGGAAACTGAGACTTAGAGGTGGATGTGACTTCCCAAGTGACTGCCCAGGTTCACAGAGTGACAGAAACTGGGTTCAAACCCAGGTCTCCTGACTTTCATTATGTTCTTTCCATTGTATCCTATTGCCTCATATTCATAAGTGAAAAAAATAAGCTGGGTATCATTTTCCTTTATTTTAGATTCCAAATAAAAATAGAGTTCAAATTTTTAAAAACGTACCCTTCATTTCTAGAGGAAGCTAGGTGGCAGAGTAGGTAGAACCCTGGATCTAGAGTCAGGAAGACCTGAGTTCAAATGTAGCCTCAGACATTTAGTAGCTATGTGACCCAAGCAAGTCACTTGACCAATGTCTTCCTCAGTTGCCTTATCTGTAAAATGGGGATAATAATCACACCAATTTTCTGAAATTGTTGTGAGGATCAAATGAGACAATATTTGTAAAGCACTTAACATAATGCCTGGCACATTGGAGGCACTAATAAATGATAAATATTTTTAATTAAAAAATTTGTCATTGGTCTGAGCTTTGAATGTAGCTAGGAATTCTAAGAGGTGGAAATGAGGAAGGAGTGCATTCCAGATACTGGTAACACCTTGGACAAAGGCGTGTTGATTGGATATAGAATATTTTCCATTAAATTTTTAAAATTTCAATTTTATTTAATTTTCAATTCTAAATTCTCCCCCTCCTCCACCCATTGAGAAGGCAGGAAATATAATACACATTATGTATATGAAGTCATGCAAAACATTTCTTCATTACGCATGGAGGGGAGGGAGAAAAAAAGAAAAAGAAAAAGCCTGATTCATTTTGTACTCTGAGTTCATCACTTCTCTATCTGGAGGCATGTTGTTCATTTGACTGGAATATGGTGCATAAGGGGGCAGGAGTGAGATATGTCTGCATGGCTATGTAGGAGCATGTTGTGAATGGCTTTAAATGCCAAACTAAGGACTCTGCATTTTATCCTAGAGGCAAGAGGGAGCTACAGATGCTTTTGGAACACAGAGGGGCAGGGGCAGACCTGTGCTTTAAGAATATTACTTTGGCAAACAGTAGGCACTTAATAATGCTTATTGGACGCCTCTTGGAGGAGCCATTGGAGAGACCATAGAACAAAGCTTGGAACCATCCCTGGTACTAGAGGAGATACCCAAATTCCCTGTCCTTTGAGGGAGAGATGCCTTCCTTTTCTTCCTCCTGCCCAGGGCCAGACTATTGTGGGAGCCCCAAGTAAGGTCCATCTGGCTTAGCAGGTCATGCAGGAAGTCTGAGAATCTTCTCTTTTCTACGTGGAGCTGGGGCTCCCAAAGGTCCCCCAGCATATCATATAATGCCCTTTTATCAGTGTCTCTGCCTTTCATTATCTGACTTCCTTTACACTTTGCTCGAGGGATGACTTCCAAGAGGGCATGAGGTGGATGGGGCCTTGCAGAGCAGCTCTCCTGACAGGGCTGCAATTGGGCAGAAGCCCTGAGCTGACCAGGACGTGGGGGATAAGCAGACAGGGCTGCCCTGGCTCTTTGCCCAGCTTCCTTCCCCAGTGGCAGAAGACGAGCAAAGGGCATTGGAGTGTGGCCCAATTTTAAGGCTCTGGCCAGGGTTAGTTCCCAGCCAGTTTTTTCCCCATTGAATTCATCCTCTTTCAAATCTTGGGGTCCCTCTCCGTCTTAGGAACTTGGCCTCCTTTAGTACCGGGGAGCAAAACTATCTTTGGGTTTAGGTTAATCTGTATTTCACATAATGACTAATTAAAATACAGGCTTGACGGATGGACCTTGCCAACATTTTCAATGTTCATTTAGAGTGAGAGATTACATGAGACAACAGACAGCAGACTTAGTCTCTACCCAACCCAGGCTGGCAGGGATTTCTATCTAAAAGACCCTCCTAGCTGGCTTCTGCTTTCCTGTAGCAGGTCTCCCAGTGGATGAACTTGGACACTACCTTAGAACTCTGGTGCTGACACTATTCATGACCAACTTTGATAGACTTAGGTCTTCTCAGCAATGCAATGATCTAAGACAATTCCAAAAGACTCACAGTGGAAAATGCTGTCCACATCCAGAGAAAGAGCTATGGAGTCTGAATGTGGGTCCAAGCAGACTACTTGCTCTCTTTTTTTTCTTTCTCGTGGTTTTTCCCTTCTGTTCTGATTCTTCTTTCACAACACGACTAATATGGAAATATGTTTACTATGATTGTACATGTATAGCCTGTATCAGATTGCTTACTGTCTCGAGGAGGGGAGATGGGAGGGAGGGAGTGAGAAAAAAATTTGGAACTCAAAATCTTATAAAAATGAATACTGAAAATTATCTTTACATATAATTGGAAGAAATAAAATCCTATTAAGTGAGGAAAAAAAAGAATTTTGGTGCTGGAAGGCCCTTTAGAGATCACGTAGTTTAAAACCTTCCTTTAAAAGGCGTCTTTTTTAGGCCACGAAGTGGGGACACTAGGATTAGAACTCAGGTCTAGTTCAGTACTCCAATTACAGACGTAGAGCTGGAGGAGGCCCCCTCACTTTACAAATGAGGAAACTGAGGCCCAAGGAAGGGCCTTGTTCCCTGTTGTCTAAGGTCACACAGGAAATCATCCTGCTTGAGGAATTATAGGGAGTGAGAGGCAGGAGCGAGGAGGGATGTTTTCCAGGCACAGGGTATAGACAGTGCCAATGCATAGAGAAGGAAAGACTGTCATGTGGGAGGAAAAGGGAGAAGGCCAATTTGACCAGACCCAAGAGTTTATGAATGAGAAAAATGGGTAATAAGGCTTGAAACAAGTTGGGTCTTGGCTGGAAAGGGCTTGAAATGCAAAACACTGAAGTTTACATTTCCTCCTAGATATACTAGGGACCTCCTAGAGGTGCTGGTAGCAGCAGATCCATAGTCACACCTAGATCTTGTCTTCAAATCCTCTTATCTCATGAATCAGAAGGGACCTTGAAGGTTAACTAGACTAACCCAGACCTAAAGTACAAAACCTTCTACAATATCCCTAACCATGGGTCAGTAAGCCTCCACTTGGAACCCCTCTACTGATAGGGAGCTCATTACTGAACAGGACAGCCTCAACCAAATCCTCTAATTCGTAAAAATATAATTCTTTCCACCCCCCCAGAACATCGGCTCCAGATTCTCATGGACCTTGTCAGAAGTGCCAGAAAGCGCAATATTGGTGTGTTTCATCCTTCCTTTAATATGTCCACATGTATCCGTGATGGTCTAAACAAAGTCCTCCCCTCTAATGTTCACAAGCTGGTCTCTGGCAAACTGGTCATCTCACTCACCAGAGTGTCTGATGGGAAAAACGTACTGGTATCAGATTTTGATTCCAAGGAAGAGATCGTTGATGTAAGTATGTGGTTCATATGCGTGTGCTTAGCTGTTTTTGTCAAATAGTTGTCTACCGATGGGGGCTCCTCATGTTCTTTCTCTAAATATGTCTTGTTCATGTCACCCCTGATGAATGGAAAGGGTTTGAGAAGGGAGTAATCATGAAGGTTTAGCTTCTCTCATCCTGATTTTCAGTCTGCTCAGGACTTGTTGTGTGAGTAGGGGAAAGAGCCCCTTGGCCCACAAGGCTTTTTAACTGTTCTAATGTAGGGACAGGGTACACTCTCCATCCTGGATCTTTCTTGCCTAACCAACACATCGACTAAGTCTTGTCTTAGTTGCACACACAGCGTTCCCCACCCGTGGTCCCCCGGATCTCCAATGAGGGAAGGGAGAGGAATGTTTTTGTCAATTTCTTCCATCTAAGCCACTTAACATTTATTGGGCTTCTACTACACAGAAGGTACCATATTGGATGCTTGTATCAGAAGATATTAAGTTGCTTTTTTTTCCCTTTTCATTCATAATGTCATTGCCCTTTTAATTCTGGCTAATTTTTCATAAACTCTGCTCAATACATACCCACATGGGTTAGCAGACAGGTGCATGTTAACGGAATGGGAAGCCCTGTTTTAACAGTCAAAGCATTTTGGTTCCTTTTCTCTCTTAAAAACAAAACAAAACAAAACACTTTGCAGAGAAAGTTTCCAAACCACCATTTGGCAATTAAGGCAGCTGACTTATTGAAATAGCCTGTCCCCCTCCCCATGTTTTAGCATCTTATCAAATTAATCAGCTACCAGATATGTCTTGAGCCTCTGCCTTGGCATGTAGGATACTGAGAATGAGAGGGTGGGGCATGTGGGTGCCTGAAGGTGGTCTTTGCAATCCGAGGCTGCTACTGTGTGCAAAGAAGGTGGGAGAAGGGCTTGACACCTTGGAAGTGGTTGCTTGTGTAGACCCAGCATCAGCTGTCTTGGGTCCCTACGACTACTGCTAAAAAAATGACTCGTGGCTCTTGAGACTAGATGCTGCCTCTTACCTGTGATTTCATCGTCTCCTGTTCTCCACAGGCTTTGGTTTGTTCCTGCTTCATTCCTTTCTACTGCGGCTTAATTCCCCCAACTTTCAGAGGTGTGGTAAGTCCAAGCTTGGGGGCTATTGCTGAATACTAAAAATCCTTTACAGAATAAGAAAGAACTTAACTGATTTGCCTAGAATCACCCAACTAGTAAGTGTCTGGGGTTGGATTTGAACTCAGGTCTACAGGAGTCCAGAGCCCTTTGCATTCTGGCACCCCTCCCCCCCACTCAGTCTAATAATACAATATGAGATACATTTTTTTAACCTCCGTACACAGCACTGTGCAAGGTGCTAGTGAAGAGGTGTAGAGATTTTGGGGTGCTCCTAGATGCACAGAGGCACCCCAAGATCGCGACGTGGGCTTGCCTGAATGAATTCAACCCAAATCTTCTTCCACCCAGAGAAAAAGTTTATTAAAGATAAAGCATATAGGCCAGACTCCCCCCCAAGGAGCCCAAATACCAGTAACGCCAGTAAGGACAAGCAGGCATGAGACAGTCTCAGGCTTTTGGGCATGAGAAAAGCTCAGCATCTGAATGGGGGCTAGAGTGGATAGGCCAGGTGACTCCGTAGGGACATGAGAGTCTCAGCCTCTAGGCGTGAGAGGTTCTCAGCGTCTAAATGGGGGCTAAGGTGGATCTTAAATACACTAAAGTAACTTTGGGTGGTCCGAGGAAGGGGGGGTTGGTTGGGAAAAGGGTTTAGGTGAGGATTCCGTTGAGAGATTTGAATAAACAACGAGAATAGATAATGAAGGGAACTGAAAGGTAGAAGTTTGCTTTCAAAGGGAGATAAAGAGAGTAGATAAGGAACCTAAAAGTTTTAAGGGTTTTCTGGGACCAGTAGACAAACTTCTTTTTAGGGCTAGGGGCAAAGGTGCATTTGAATGATTAAAAGGTAAGGCTAAAGCTTTCAAAGAGACATAAAGTGAGTCTACAAGGAATCTAAAAGTTTAAGGTTTTTCTGGTAATCATAGACAAACTGGAGCCAGGTTCTTTTTAGGGCCAGGGAGGAAAGGTGCATCTGGATAAGATCAAAAGGCTAGGCCGAGGCTTTGGAAGGGCAAAGGTCTCGGCTTCTGAAACTGAATGAAACCCTCGTCACTAGGAGAGATACAAAGTTGTGGGCCACTGTCCTCAAGAAGCTTCAGTCCAGAAGAGGGATAAGCCCCAAACATGGACATTTAGAAAGCATTTATTAAGCTCTTAATGTGTGCAAAGGCACTGTGCTGCAAGCCGGGATGTAAAGACAAAAATGGACACACAGTACAGAAGTGGACAATGTTCCACAAAAGGTGTGGATACAAAGGACCCAGCAGCTTCGAATGTTCCTGGTATTCAACAAGGATGTTTTATATATTTATATCGTGCCTAAATGCTTCCAAAGCACTTTCCACACAGCAAACTTGTGAGGTAGACAGTACGAGAACTTTTATCCTCGTTTTACAGACTCAGAAACTGAGGCCCAGATAGACTGGTGACTTTTCCATGGCCTCCTATACTACATGGCCTGTTTCTATGCTGAGCACCTTCTGTGTGCTCAGCCCTAAGCTGAGCTCTGTGGGGAATACAGGAGAAGTGGATTGCTGAGCTGGAGAAGCAATGGCCAACCACTCCAGTATCTCGGCCAAGAAAACTCCAAATGGGACCACGAAGAGTTAGACAGGACTGAACCGACCCAACAACAAAGATGTACGGAACACCTGCCAGACTTGTTGAGGCACTGAGAACAGTGTATGTGAAATAATTAGCAAGAAATGCTAGGCAGAACATAATCTAGTACCCAGGTGGACACACAGGACTACGGAAAGGTCTCAGGGTCCTTCTGGGTTCAGAGAATAGGGAGGTCACTTCAGGTAGATTCACGCAGCCAGGGTGGAATAACAACGGTTATTCATGCTTCCATGGATGTCTGGCTGGGTCTCCAGACGGCATAAAAGCTCTGATTTCTGATTTCTGGGATCTCTCTCCTCCCCTCCCCTCCCCTCCCCTCCCCTCTCCTCTCCTCTCTTCTCCTCTCTTCTCTTCTCCTCTCTTTTTTCCCTCTCCCTCTCTCTTCCTCTCTCTCTTCCCTCCTTTCCCCCCTCTTTCTCTCCACCCCCTCTCTCATGTTATTTTTTTCTTTCTTTTTTATAAACTGATTTTCAGAAAAATCATCCCTTTGGGTTTTAGACTCAAGGTCATGCCAACATGACCACTGAAACCAGTATGTATATTCAACACTGAATTTCTCCCCATTGTTTATAGATACACACAGAGAGATGAGGGAGAGGGAGAGAGAGATGTCAGAAAAGCCCATAATCAGAGTCTGCACAGAGGCTTTAAGTACGTAGTGTCCAAATTGCTTTGGAAATGTATACTCTTATTTGGAAAAGGTCAGGAGGAGTACAGGTAAAGAAGAAGAGCAAACCAGTTTCCACAGATGAAAACTATGTCCAGATTTTGAGAAAAGCTGCCCGTCTTTCATTGGTCCCCACGGACTGGACCTGGGGTTTCATCAGCATAGTGGAGAGATGTCCTGGCTAGGAAACTCCCTGTGTACAGTCTGCCAAAGCTAGTTGATACCTGCTCTGCCACTTATCCTGAGAGTGGCCTAGGACGGACCCCAAGAGGTTAAAGAATGTGCCCAGGCTCACCAAGCCCATATGGGTCAGGGTTGGGACTTCAAGCCAGGCCTTCCCAGCTCACGGGCTGACTCCTGGTGGATTGCAGAAAGTATGGCCGGTGGAGCTCAAGCTCTGGCAGATGTGTCCAGCAGGAGTCTGGTGATGAAGAAGGCGTGTGTAAGGGCTCGTCACCAGAAAGGGCCCTGCAGCAATGCCCGTGACCCGTGTCATTGGGGGGATTATAACAATAAGATTCTGCACCTTAAAAACAAAGTGAGAAGCAAGTGAAGTATGGAAAGTCTTTCTTCCTGGGGCAGGAGTAGGGTAGAGGGCACACGGCTGGCTGCTGGGTTTCTTTCAGAGCCACTTCCGGACTGGCTCATGTCCTGAGCCAGTTTTCCCGAGGCCATCAAACATCAGACTGACTTCTCTTACAGTGGAGCCTGTCAGCACAACGAAAGCACGGAGCCAGGGGTTTGTCCCAGTGTGTGACAGTGTGTTTGATGAGGAGGTCACTCCACAGAAGGTAGGAGGAGCTATGTCAATGCCTGTGATGATGCTTCTCTTTCACCCATTTTCCCAAAGCGATACCTGGATGGAGGAGTGAGTAACAACGTACCTTTCATTGACTCCAGCACCACCATCACCGTTTCTCCTTTCTACGGGGAGCACGACATCTGCCCCAGAGTCAAGTCGACCAACTTCTTCCACGTGAACATCACCAACCTCAGCTTCCGACTCTGCTCGGGCAACATTTACCTCGTAGCCAGAGCCCTTTTCCCACCAGAGCCGAAGGTACGTGACGCTGTTGCCCGTGCCTGGCATGGGCTTGCTGCCCTGGCCCTCCCCTCTGCTAGTGTTCTGCCGGTCTCCACAGGACCCTCCCTTATAACAAAGTAAAACGCTACAGCTCTGTTCAATTCAGCAACATCAAGACCGACGACTGACCCGTGGCCCGCCACGTCTCAAAGACGTCCCCTTCGTCCCTGTCCTCCTCTTCTTCAGGGACCAGCTCCGGGGTCGTCAGATACGCCTCGGCGATTATCCCACACTTTATACTCACTATCTAGATGACCTTGGCCACGTCACTTCCCCTTTTAGGGCCTCAGTGTTCTCATCCATAAAAGAAGGCGGCTGGACTGGATGGGCTCTGAGCTCCTTTCCAGCTCTAAATCAATGATCCTGTGACCTCCTCCATACAATATTCCCTAATACCCAACTACAGGTGTTGTCTTCCTCCTAGGTTTCCCCTGGTGCTTCCCAGGACCATCCCTAGCCTTTAGCTCAGTCTCTCCTGTTACTAGGTTATCTGTGTCTGTAGCTTTCCCCGGTGGCTATCTTGGTGTCCCCAGCACTTATCCCTGGGCCTCCAGCACTCAGTAGTAGAGATCTGTTCAGTCGAATAGATATCACTTCATACCCAGGAAAGAGTCCAGACCCGATGAAAAGTCCGGGAAGCGGATGTTCCTGCATGAAGGGATGCCTGCTCCGACGCAGAGAGGGCGGTTTTGAGCGTTGGGTTGGTGTGTGCTCGTGATCTATGGTGTGCTGTGTCACGTGGCACATTTACAAGAGTGGAGGAGGAAGGATGTGCATGGGATGTGACTGCAGGTGTGAAAACTGGATTCAGCAATCGATAATCCTGGGCAGCCAGGTGGCACAGGGGATAGAATCCTGAGCCTGGAGTCAGGAACTTGTTCTGTTGCTTCAGTTGCATCCAACTCTTTGTGACCCCCTTTGGGGTTTCCTTAGCAAAGATCCTAGAGTGGTTTGCCAACTGAACTCAACTCAGGTTTTCCTGAGTTCAAATCCAGCCTCAGAGACTTACTAGCTGTGTGACCCTGGGCAAGTCACTTCACCGTGTTTGCCTCAGTTTCCTCACCTGTAAAATGAGCTGAAGGAGGAAATGGCAAACCGTACCAGTATCTTTGCTAAGAAAACCCCAAATGGGGTCAAAAAGAGCTGGATATGGGGGGCAGCTAGCTGGCGCAGTGGACAGAGCTCCAGTCTTGGAGTCAGGAGGACCTGAGTTCAAATCTGGCCTCAGACACTTGGCACTTACTAGCTGTGTGACCCTGGGCAAGTCACTTAACCCCGATTGCCTCACCAAAAAAGCAACCACAACAAAAAAGAGTTGGGTGTAACTGAAATGGCTGAACAATTGATAATCATGAGACAGCACAGCACATGGATTCAGAAGAACCTGGGTTCAAGTCTTGCCTCTGATACTTCCTGGCTGTGGGACCCCGGGCAAGTCATTGTATTCTAGGTACCCTAGGTGGCTCTTAGAGGCTAGAAGTGGCAAATCAGTTATTCATCTGAATCAGTGGAGAGAAATCATGGGTCCAGACCAGTACAGAATGGCTCTTTTCCCTCCTCCAGACAACAGTGGCAGTGATAACAAATCACTCAATAAAAGTCAGTAAACATGTAAGCTCTTGAGATCCCTTAGGTAACCTGACAGCCTTCACGTGGAGCTAACACCCAAACATTTATAGAAAGACAACTGTCTGTCCTTATTTATGAAACAAGTCTTTATCAAATAACCACAAAACCCACAGAAGAACATTCCACAAACTCTTGGGCTCTCATTCAGTGCACACTTAAATGTGTGGGAGCCTGGCTTGGGTTGCTTTGTTCAGTCGGGTAGTTGAGTGCCCGAAGAGTGTCTTGGGCTTAAGGCTGTGGGACTATAGAGCCCGGCTAAAGCCTCTTAGCCACAGGGTTCCTTAAAACAGACACTTTACTCAGGCTGATCTGCCCTAATGTTACCATTTTCCTTCCTGTGGTTTACTCATCTGGCTTGTTTATAGGTACTTGGAGAGATCTGTCTTCGGGGATATTTGGACGCACTTAGATTCTTGGAAGAAAAGGGTATGTTGATGTTTTGGTAGTATCAATGTGGTCTCTGAGGTGACCTGACTGAGTAGAGCAGGTGTAGGAGTGATGGGGGTGGGGGTTGGGGGGGGGAGGAAGTGGCAAGTTTGGGCTTGATATAAGAAAAACAAAACTGATGACAATTAGGACTGTCCTTGGGGAATGGATAGCTTTGGGAAGGTCCGCCTTCAATCGAAGACTTCTAGGCTGGATGAGTGTCTGTTGGCATGGATGGCTGTCTGTTGGGTATGTTGTAGAGAGGCCTCCTATTCAGGGTTGGGCTGGACTAGATGAGATAGTTTCTGAGGCCTCTTTAGACTAGGAAACCCTAACTGGGGATCTACCCTCAAAGGATCCATGAATGGATTACAGGGGATCCTTTACCTTAAGTGGGAAAAATGCATCTTTGTTTTCACTACCTCTAACTGAAATTGAGCATTTCCTTCAATTATACATTTGAAAAAGCATTCTTTTGAGAAGAGGGCCATGACATAATCAAGGTGAAGAACCATTGCAATAGACCCTGAGAATCTGGCATTTTGTGGCTACTTTGATCAGCATTTAAAAAGTGAAGTAATCACATAATCATTTCAGCTCAGTAGCAGACTCTGGATTGCTCTTTAGGTATGGTTCCATATGACTTTAGCATTCCAACATTAACTCTCGCACATGGTCCTCAAACAGCTCATACTGTCTGTTCTCTAGCTTGAGCCATTTCTTCTGATGGTTTATATGATGGGCGTCTTCATGGGAAAGGCATTTCAGTTGCTGGCTCTGGAGCCCCACCTTGAGTCCTGGCGGTTGGGCGTGTTCAGCCCCTTCCGTCCGTCGCTCCCCCATGCCAGGTGGCTCAGTTACGCCTCCTTGTGTTATTCTTCCCAAGCTGGGTTTAAACACTGTTGACATAGAGCCAGGTGGTAGTTGGGTTTTCAGGTGTTCACCTGCATGTTTTGATGACATACTGATTCTCCTAATTCATCCTTGGTTGAGGTGAAAGACTTGCCCAGAATCAGAATTGGAAGAAGTCTCCAGGGCTGCCTGACCTAACCTCAATGGCAATCCCCACTGTAGCGTAACTAGACACTGCTTGAAGTTCTATGGGGATGGGGACCTTCCTGCCTCCTGAGGCAGCCCATTCATCTGCCTTTGGAAGGTTCTAATTCTTAGGAAGTTGATCCTTTTGTGAAGGAACATCTGCCCTCCTGTTGTTCAGACTTCTGTCCTCTGGGCCAAGCAAAACGAGCCCAGTTCCTCCCTCCTATATCACAGCCCTTCAGATACAAGACAACTGCTGTCACACGTCCCCAGAGCCTTCTCTTCTCCAGATGAAGCATTCCTAGTTCCTTCAGAGCCTTGGAAGGCACGGTTCTCAAGGCCTCTCACCATCTTGTTTACCTTCCATTGGTTATTTTTTAGTTTTCAGTGTTCTTCCCACATTGTGTTATCTATAAGATGGAGGATAACACCTCAGATGAAGTCTGACCGAGGAAGAGGTCAGGGACTCTCCACTTACACTGTACCTCTATCAGGGCACTCAGAATTGGATAGCACAGATCTCCAACCCCACTGTCTATCCTCAGCAATAGGCCAGAAAGAGCCAAGTAATTTGCTTAAAGGCAGAAACAAAGACAAACATTTTTTGTCTTCTAATACAAGCAAGCAACCCTGGCTTCCATTTGGATGACTCCCTGACTTTTGTGATCTCATGTAGAGTCATAGAATGGCAGAGCTGATTAGATCTGTTCTAGTCCTATGCTTCTCAGAGGGGTCCTCGTGCCCCTGGGAGTCCCTGAGAGCCTTTCAGGGGGACCTTGAGGTCAAAGCTATTTTCATAATGATACTAAGACATTTTAATTTCTAATGTGGTAAATATTGATAGCTATAACCCATATAAACAAAAGCTGTCTTCTGGGAGTCCTCAAAATTTTTTTTTTTTTTGCTTTTTTGGCAAGACAATTGGGGTTAAGTGACTTGCTCAGGGTCACACAGCTAGCAAGTGTCAAGTGTCTGAGGCTGCATTTGAACTCAGGTCCTTCTGACTCCAAGGCCAGAGCTCTATCCACTGTGCCACCTAGCTGCCCCTGAGTCCTCAATTTTTAAGAGGGCCCTGAGACCAAAAAAGCTTGAGAATCACTAGGCTTGTCCACCCTCTTCATTTCACAGATAGGGAAACTGGTCCAAGGAATTAAAGAGCTTATTTGAGGTTACGCACAACCAGCTGATGGCAAAACTAGGACTAAAACCCAAGTCCTTTAACCACCCCCCCAAACTGTGCTGGTCTAATATTGCCCCCACACACCCCCCATCCCTGCCCTGGGCAGTATGAGGTGTTATCATCCCCATAGAGGAAACCAGGGCTCAGAAAAATGAAAGAAATCAATCGTCCAGCTGGCTAGGAAGTGTCGGAGCATGGAGCCTGACTTCTAGTTCAGGGCTTGGCATCAAAAGCTACTTCTCCAAGGCCAACACCAATGGGAAGAAGTTCCTGGGGAGGACTTTCCGCTTTGGGACAGGCAGCCCTTGGATATCTAATGCTGGCCCTTTCTTCTGTCTAAAGGGATTATGTTTCCGCTGGTGAGCTCAGTGTCTGTCATTCACGTGTATACACCGTGATCCCCTTGAGCCAATTATTGGCTGACTGCTGTGTCCAAAATTAGATGTGACCTTTCTTTCCCTTGTCCTCTTACTCACCCTAGGCATCTGTGACCCATCGCCTCCTTTTCTGAATGTGCCTGTGGAAGAGAAAGAACCGGAGATCCCTTTATCCTGCTGTGAAAATCAGAGTCCCCCAACTAAGACGGAGGGTAACAATGAGATCACACCAGAGGGCGTTGAGTTTATCGACCATCTACGACTCAGCATAATTCCATGGGATGAGGAAATCTTGAAAACTGTCTCACCTGAACTTTATTTAGGTACTGAAATGTTGGTAGAAAAGGTGCTCAAAGGGATTCATTCTCTCTGTTGTGACAGTCTGCTTAGACGAGCGTTCTGGGCAGTGAACATTTCTTTCCTGAAATAGAGGCTCAGGGGGGTTTGAGCTGGATGGAACCTTCTTGAGGCCAATCCTCTCATTGTATAGATGAGAAAATGGAGGCCTTTTCTAAGGTCACACAAATGGAACGTTGCGGAGCTGGATTTCAAATATAGATCTCATGACTCCAACTCCAGTTCACGCTGGCTCACAGCCCAGCGGGGCCGACGAGCACACAAGCAGACAAACTCTGTTTGCCACTCAAGCCTGTCCTAGCCAGCCAAGGGCCAAGAGGCTCATCACTACAAAGTATCTCCACATCATGACTTTTTTGGCCCCTGGTCAGGTTGTGAAATATGAAGCCATTCTAGGTATGGGACACACAGGAGTAAAGGGCAGGACAGGATGGGGGAATGGCTTACTCAGAATTTATCCCAGTGACTGACAGTCCATCCCTCTTTGTCCTGAGTCGAGGAATCTTTGTTCATGGTGGTCTGGGTAATGGCGACCCTCAGCGGCCCTTGGTTTGCAGATGTTTCTGTGTAGAAAGCCTTCTTGTTGCCTTCCAAGTTTCCAACGGGCTTGGTCCGCAGTTCTTCTCTAAGTCTTGCCATTTTTAAGGTGTCTAGGAATCTCAGAGTGTCCTTTCCTCCACTTTTGGTCTTTAAACTACTTAGGCATCTCTTGTGGACCAAATACATTCATTTAGCAGATTCATACAGTACTTGCTTCAAAAGGATTAAATCAAATGGTGTTACTTTTTGGAGAATGACCATGGGCCTTGTGCTTGAAAAAGACACTGCTGATGCAGCTCATAGTTCTGCTTACGAGATTACACAGCAGTCTAGTGTGATGATACTTCCTGAGCATCTGCTTTGGGCAGCACACAGCCAGAGCTGAACACTGTGGGGCTACAAAGCATGATTGGGGGTGGGCGATGGAGGAGAGTGGAAGACACACACATCATCATCGTCATACAAGGCAGAAAGGTTTCATGTTTCACGTACAGGGTGCTGTGTAAGCTCATGGGAGGAAAAGATCCTTTCTTGCTAAGGGGGCAGAAAGGGCTTCATTAAAGGAGGTGGTCCTCGTGAAAAGGCTTGGCTCTGAAAATACTGGCATTGGTGACATACAGCTTGGCCAACTGCCCGCTTGCAGGTTCTTTAGGAGCTACCTGGGAAGGTGATAAGAACAGGACTCCTGGGTGCCCATTTATGCACAGGTCATATTAAGGCAGTAGGGGCTGGAATGAACAAATCCTAAAACAGAAAATGTGGTGCCCTGTAGTACCTCGGCTTTTACACTCTTGGAGAATCAGAATTTTGTTGATTCCTTGTCCCACTGATACTGAGACCACTAGGTTCTGCCCCTTGTTGTAGTGTTCTTCTTGAGAGCCTGGGTGTCAACCCCCTTGGTCTGACATTTAGGGTCTTTGTTCCAAGCCTTATCTCAGAACACTTATTAAGTACCTACTATATTCCCATCACTCTTCTAGGGACCACTATACTTATGCACAAAGTACTTGGAATGTCCTCCTCCTCCCTTTTCTCTTACCCCTCCTTTAAAGTGCAGCTCAGTACCACCCGCTTCGTGACCCCTGCCTTAATCTCCCCCAAACCTCCTGTTTTGCACTCAGTCCATTCGACCGTGTGTTATCTTGTAGTATAGGTACCTGTGTGTGTGGCACATACTCCTCTTGAGTCTTAAGGAAAGGACCCAGATGTATGTAAACTTTATTCCTTCCCCAACCTCAAGCACTGAATCCGGTCCAACCTCCCTAACTTTGCATAGAGAAAAGAGAGTAGCAGAAGTCATATGACTTGCCCGAGGAAATGCTATGAGGCAGGGTCAGAGCCAGAAATCTGACTACATAGTAAATATTTTTATTTTTCAGCTCTGCAAAAAGCAATGAAAGAAAAGGGTGGATACTTGGCCAAGATCCTCAACTGCTTACCTGTTCGGATAATGTCCTACGTGATGCTCCCATGTACGCTGCCTGTGGAATCTGTGGTTTTTGTCGTGCAAAGGTGAGCCTTCTTCCAGGAGTTAAGAATGACAATGAGTCTTTCCTTTATTTTGCTTCCAAAGACTTTTATTCGGAGGAGGAGCTTCCGTTAAAGCTGCCTTCCTGTCCTCAAAACTGTGTCCTGGTCACATGTAGCTCCAAAGTTGCACAATGAATAATGCTTTAAATCACCTTAAGGTAATTCAGTAGAGAGAGATGAGTCTTTCTTTAAAATTTTATCCCTTCAAAATTTATTTAATGGAATTAACTTTTATCAGCTACATCTTTAGAAGTCTCCTTTTATGAAATCCTAGAAATCTTCAGGGTTGGGAAGGACCTCGGAGATGATACAGTTCTCCTAACAGAGAGTTGACAGACTCAAGGTGCAGAATAAGATACATTTTTTTGACATTGGCCAATACGAGAATTTGTTTTGCTTGACTATTCGTATTTGTTACAAGGGTTTCCTTTTATTCCAGTGGGTATGTAGGAGGGAGGTGGGACAGAGATAAAATAGATTTTTAATGGAAAAAAAATTTTTAAATGGAAAAAAAAAAAAAGGTAATGCAATTCCATTTTGCAGATAAGGAAAGTGAGGCCTGGCTTTGGCCAAGGCCTACCTAGTGCCAGTTTCTGGGCCAGTGGGTTTTGTCATTATACCACCCTGAAATCAATTCAATCCAATAAACATTGATTAAGAACCTACTAGGTGCCAGGACTGAGATACAAAGACAAAAAAAACAAAACAAAACCCAAAACCAATTACTGACAACATGTGTACATTACCCTCACTGAGCCCTGACCTCCCCCAACAATATGGCATTCTGGCCATCCTCTCCAACACTCTGGTGGTAACTTCTTTTCTCCCCCTCCCTCCCTCTCCCCCACCCCAACTACATAAAACAAAAACCACACACTGAACTTGGAGGGGATGCCGGAATAGGAAGTTTACTGATCACCCCTCTGTCTCCATCTCTCAGCAACCTCTCCTGACGCAGTATCAAAATTGGCCACCCTGTCAGCTCACTTTGGTTGCCGTGTGCCAGTCCCCAACTCATCCCCCTCTTTTCTGGAGAGTGAAGCACTCTACCCCCTGTCTCCTTTCCTTGCCAACACCTGCCTGTATGCATGCACATTGATGCTCCCTGACCTCCCCATTCCTCAGCCTTCGCAAACCTCCTTCCTTCCACCTCAGCCACACCCAGGGATGGCAATGCCCCAGATCTCATCAGTGTTTCCTACTTCCTTCGTCAAAAACTCTGGCATGCTTCTATTTGGTCATTATTTCCTTTCATTCCATCTCACCTTTCCTAACCTTATTCTTCACTCTCATCCCCGCAGTACTCTCTTAAGCCACCACCTCTGCTCTGATTTCACTTTCCTCCTTTCCAATCTCCACCCTGTAGTCAGTTAGCCAATTTGACTCCATATCGCCATCATTTCTCAAATCCCTATCACTATGCCTCATCTCTTGCCAAACCCCGGGCCGTGAATGACTCTCACCACCTGCCACCTCTGCCCCTACTCAAGGGCTATCAAAGGAAAACACAGAACTATGCTCACTGGGTGTGATATAAATTCATGTTCTGTAATCTCAGCAAGGCCCTCAAGGCAACAAGACAATCTCTTTATTCCTCCCTAACTGATTCATTCCCTCAGAAGTTATTCTGGGCCTTCTCTTCTCTCCTCCATCCTCTCATACCTCTCTCTTTTCTCTCTCAGCTGAGGACCTTGCTTCTTACTTGGCTGAGAAAATTGAGCTCCCTCCTCTTTTTATCTTAAAATCTATTAACTCCCACTGCCAGGGCCAACCCCCTACATGTGCCTTTGAACCCATCCCTCCCCATCTCCTCTAGCAGATTGCATGCCCAGGCATCATCTCTCTCTCAAACATTCCATCTCTCCCCATCAATTGTTTTCAAACATGCTCAAATCTCTCCTATGTTAAAAAACAAAACAAAACAAGACAAAACAAAAAACCCAAAACTAATTTTACTAAACACTACCATCCCCTCAAGCTAGCATCTTATATCTCTCCTTGTTTTCTTGGCCAACTCCTTAAAAAAAAAGCCTGCCCGAACTTGTTGCTTTCCCTTCCTGTCCTCCTACTCAGTCCTCAGCCCTTTGCAATCTGGCTTTCAAAACAAGTGAAACTGTCATCTCCGAAGTTATTAATCTCTCTTGAAATTTCTTTATTGATTGTTTTTGTATAGCTCAAATTCCCCTCCTTATCCCTTTTCCACCCCTCCAAGAGCCATTCTATAGAACAGAGAATTTGGAGAAAAAGAATCAGCAAAATTAATACATGCACTGAACACACCTGACAGCACATGCAATGTATATCACATCATGCCAGAGCCAGGTGGGCAAATCTTCTCCTAGCTCTTCCTTAGGGTCAAGCTTGCTGGTCATTTTGTAGCCTTCATTCTGTCCTGTGGCTGTTCTTTCCATTTTCATTGCTTAGGCATCGTTTTCTTGGTTCTGCCGGCTTCACTTCATCATCAGTTCACTTAAGCTTTTCCATGTTTCTCTGAATGCCTCATTACTTCTTACAGTACAGTAATATTTCACTTATATTCTTGTGCCATTTTTTAACCGTTCTCTAACTGATGGGCATCTACTTTGTTTCCAGTTCTTTATTACCACAAAAACTGCTGCAATAAATATGGGGCTTTTTTTTTTCATCAATGACTGCCTTGGGGTATATGCCTACTAGTAGAATCTCTGGGTCAAAGGGTAGAGACTTGATAGGCACAATTCCAAATTGTTTTCCAAAACGGCTGTGCCAATTCACAAGTGCATCTGAGTGTCTGTTTTCCACAAGATTTCCTCTCTCCAAGACTAACTATTTCTATCTTCTGTCATCTTTGCCAATCTTCTGCACCTCGAATCCACACCCTCTGTCGGGATATAGCCAGCTACCTATCTTTAGAATCGTCACTAGCCATTGTGTTGATCGAGGTTCTTAAGTCTTTCTATGTTGTCTATTTTTATGGTGTTATTGTATAAATTGTTCTCTTGATGAATGGTTTCTTAACTGCAAAATATGAAGCATTATTAATGATGTTATCTAACTTTTGCATAGCTCTTTGAAGTTTCCAAAGCATTTCCTCCAATCCTGTGAACTGGGTAGGTCAGGTATTGTTAGATGAGAGTCAAGAGGTGAGTTCTTCCCAGAACATGATGGCAAAGTGCTCCTTCTGCCCACAGGTAAAGAAGTGGGGGGTGGTAGGTGGAGAAGGAGCCATTCAAACATGTCCAATGTGTTACTTGGCTTCACTTGGCTGAACTTATTTCTTACTACTGGTGGGGGAGAATTGTTGGGAAGTAACAATGATGTTGTGAATAAGGAAAGAGCATCAATATAAGTTTCTTTAAAAAGCAAAAAAAAATAGAAGTGAGAATCAGAGAAGTTAAGTCAGGATCACAGACAAAGTGAGCAGCATATAGTAGGACAAGAGCCTCAGGTGTCTAGCTCCTGGGCTAGCACCCTCTTTGTATCCCCAACATCTAATATAGTAGAAACTGAATTAATGCTTATTGATTGATACTTGAAGTCTTTGATTTTTCTAAACAACTTCAGAGCATGACAGCTTGGTTTTCTATGGAGAAAGCCTTCTTGTATGTGACTAAAATACAATGTTAGGGTCACATGTTCCATGATCTATAAAAAACAAAACAAAACTAAAACCACCACCTAACCTTCCTCACATCTATTAGTGATTAACCATAAGTTAATAGCTGATCAAGTATGTGTTTGTAATGTCTTTCCATTTATATCAGAATTTACATAGGACACAATCTTTCTGAGTCGCATCCTTTTTGATGACATAGCATGAAGTAAGACAAACTCTTTTTTTAAAGTCCCATTGAAACTCTCATCTTTACTGAATTTTTTTCCCCAATTTCCCCTAAGCCTTTTTGATATCAAATCTCAAATTCACCTTCCATGGTCTCAAATTTAGCTATAGTCCTCTATTAAAAACACCTGGGACACTTGATCCAGACCCACTGATGTCAATCCCGTTGACCACCAGACTCTGGACAAGGCACTGGGGTACCATCACCCAACATGTGGAGTGTGTTCCCCAGAGGCCTGAAGTCTTCATGATGATGTATACGAGTCAACACAAAATAAATACTGGCATGCCAATGAGAGCAGTCTTGTAGTTCTAAAATGGGAGCATTTGATGCTAATCTTCCGAAGCGTTCCTTGTGCCTTACCCAAAGCTGCCAGCCCTTTCCTGGGCCCAGCCCTGATACTCAGAAGTGTTTATCTTTATGCTGAAATAGTGAGTGTGCTTGTTTTCTCCTCCCAGGCTAGTGAGATGGTTTCCAGATATGCCCGATGACCTCGAATGGTTGCAGTGGGCTGCTTATAAAATCTTCCGTCTAGCATGAGAGTATCTCCTTCTAGTATCCAAGTAAGTAGATTATTTAGCTGGATATGCATGTATTCAAGACAGGAAGCCCCATTACTCTTTCAGGTAACATTTATTGGATGGCCAGTGTATACAGGATGATATAGTAGGTATATGGGATTTTGAGTGAGAAGGGACCGTAGAGATCAAGTTCAGGGGTCCTCGACCTGGGGTCCATGATTTTGTTTTTAAATATTTTGATAACTATTTCAGCGTCATTGGCTTTCCTGGTAAACCTAAGCATTTTATTTTATTTTATGCACTTAAAAATAGGATTCTGAGAGGGGTCCACAGGCTCCAGCAGACTGCCAAAGGGATCTATGACACCAAAAAAGTTAAGACTCCCTGATTTACTCTAAGCCTTTCATTTGACAGGTGAGGAAATGAAGGCCTTTTCCAAGGCTGCTCAAGTAGCTGTGGAGACTGGAGATGAACCTCTGCTTCCAGAATCCAAATCCAAGTGATTTTACCCCAGATATTCCTTCCTGTTACAATCTAAGAAGACAAGGAGTTCTTTTTACTTTTCAGGAACCAAAGCCCGTCTTTAGGAAGAAGCCGCCAGTTCGCCTGTCTCGAGCAACCTGGCCTTGCTTAGAAGCTCTCAGCTTTTCTACACATCTGGAAGACAGGCTCAGTGAGGGCCCTTCAGTTTCATGTGCCATGGAGGCCGAAGCTAGCAATGAAAGATACTCCATCTTAAAATCCAACCTCGTGTTTTCTCAAATGATAAAATGCCTGGGTAGAAGAAAATTCTAACATCTCTTCTCCAATAAGAAAGCAATTTAAAAGTCACTTTAGAAGAGAAATTTAGAACACTATTTCTAAGAATATAAAATCCTTTATATAATTTGAGAGTTACTTTTCAAACTTGGGTTTATAATGACCCACTAGACACTATAACTGTACAGAATTGTGGCTTCTGTACTGAATCTTCCAATTTATCTTTTTTTTTTTTTTAGGCAATTGGGGTTAAGTGATTTGCCCGGGGTCACACAGCTAGTAAGTGTCAAGTGTTTGGTCTGAGGCCGGATTTGAACTCAGGTCCTCCTGACTTCAGGGCAGGTGCTCTATCCACTGTGCCACCTAGCTGCCCCCTCCGATTTACTTTTATAAAAAATGTAAAATAGATAAAGAAAAATTTTTAGTCAATTTTAAAGGAAACAAAATATTACTGCTCTTCCTTTCCTAAGTCAAGTGTTTGAGTTGGTTAGGTAAACAGGTTAGGGAATGATGCCTCAGAAAAGGAAAAGGCCATTGACCCAGCAGGCAACCATCTCACTGGCTATGTGGGATCATTTGGCACAGAGAATATTTTCATCTCTCTTTTGGAGGAACTTTGACCACTTCAGTAAAATGCTTGATAAAAGGAAAGAGATTCAGAAAGATATAAGGTCTTTTAATGTTTGTGTGGCCTGTATTTATGTGCATTAATGTCTGCAAGTTTGAAAAAAAAAGTTTTTTAAAAAGTCTAATAGTTTTATTTGCATCAATGTTAGTAAGTTTAAGCCATCTCTGATAAGCAGGTTCTTAATCCTGGTGGCATGGGCCCCTTCTCCAAGAGCCCCGTTTTCCCACACCTTTGAAATCCCCCTTCTTAACATGGCAGGTGTGGAGCTGACTCTGCTCAGCTATCCCTGAGCTTCAGTCAGTCTGCAGGCTCTTCCAGCTTTATTTTCCTGGCATCTTATAGGTCAGTCACCTCTGCCCATGTGGTTGCGTTATCATGACACTTATTTCAACATTACGACTTATTTTATTTCACCCTAATAATCCCTGATGAATCAACTTCTATGTCACAGGTGGGATCAAAGATACAAAGACAACCGAGAGACAGTGCCTGGCCCCATGGAGCTCAGAATCTGAGTAGGGAGGCTAGGAGACAGTGGGAACCAAAGTGCAGGAGAGAAAAACGGTATTGCCCAGAGTACTATGTGAGCTAGGGTTTAAGAACAGGTATACTGTAAATTTGGCCATTTTACTGCATTACCATGTGCCTTTTATTTCAGAAATAAATATGACTGTAAGATTTCAGATGGATCCCCTATAGGCTGTAGAGAGCCTCTACGGCTACCATCCTCATCTTACAGATGAAGAAAATGAACCCTGGAAAAGAACAAGGCTCCTCGACATCCATACAGCTGGAAGATGTCTCAGAGGCCTCCAAGCCATCTTCCCATTAGAGAAAAGAGACATGGGGAGATTGCCTGGCTTAGGTTACACGGGTGGTAAGCACAAGCAGCAGGATCTGAACCCATGTCCTCAGCAGAGTACCTCACTGTCTCAGGATAAGTGATGTTTATGTGTTAGACTGACATCTCCTTGAGGGCCGTTGTTTGTCCTTCATTCTCAGAGAGGACCAATGATATCAGAGAGGTGATGCCATGACATGCGAGTGAATTGGACTTAAGGGACGGAGGGCTGCGCAAAGTCACCAGCCTCACTTCCTCCTCTGGAGCCCTGCGGTAGGACATAGATCAGGACTGCTGGAGATGGCCCTGGATGCAGTGGGCAGAAAATACCTGGATGTTCTTATATGGTGTTGAATATTGTGCTACACCCTTTAGGATATCTAGTGAAGTCAACTGTTCACTTCCACTGCCTAGGATAGGTTATAGGAGTATTTGAAAAGAAAGAGGGTTCCTTTTTGTTTTAGCATCAAAAGAGGGCAGCTGAGTGGCGCAGTGGATACAGCCCTGGGCCTGGAATCAGGAAGGCCTGAGTTCAAATCTGGCTTCAGACATTTACTAGCCATGTGACCCTGAGCAAGTCACCTCCCCCTGTTTGCCTCAGTTTCCTCAGCTGTAAAATGACCTTGAGAAGGAAATGGTAAACCATTTAAGTATCTTTGCCAAGAAAACCCCAAATGGGGTCATGAAGAGTCTAACTCAACTGAAAAATGACTCAGCAATAAGGATACTAAGGCCCAAGGCCTATCTTGTCTCTAAAATAAGATTAAATTTAAATATTGTAAGGATCATTATTAATGATTTTTCAGAAGAACTTATTTTCAATGGAGTCACTTAGAGCATCATAGATTTATAATTAGAAGGGCTCTTTGAGATGAGTTAGTCAATCCTCTCATTTTGCATGCATAAGGGGAATCCTTGACCAAGAATTCAAACCCAGGTCATCTGATTCAGAAGCCTCCATGTCCTATAAACAGGTGATAGCTGAGGTTCACGATCGTGTTAATGGCTTTCAAAGAGGGAGAAAGCAGCCAAAAGAAATGGTGGCCCTCCAAACCTCTTCCCACACCCTCTCCATTCACTCAGTCCCAATGAGGCTGTAACCATACACGAGAGCCAGAGCCCATCAGCTGTCAATTTCAGGCCAGGGAAATGGTCCCTTCAGAATGTCCAGCTCAGTCAGCATTTCCATGGTTATTGATGTTGTTGTTTATCAGTCGTGTCTGACTCTCCGTGATCCCCATTTGGGGTTTTCTTGGCAAAGATACGGGAGTGGTTTGCCATTTCCTTCTCCAGCTCATTTTATAGATGAGGAAACTGAGGCAAACAGGGTGAAGGTACTTGCCCAGGGTCATGGAGCTAGTAAGTGTCTGAAGTTGGATTTGAACTCAGAAGATGAGCCTTCCTGCCTCCAGGCCCTGGTCTGTATCCATTGTGCCACCTGGCTGTGCCTAGTTGGCAGCTGTTACAGAGATTCTAGTCATGTTTCTAAATCACTTACACAGTTCCCTAAATTGTCCTTTTCTGGTGACTTTTTGCCTGATTTGTGGAAGCGCCTGTAACTCTTCCCCAGCCCTGGAAGAATGTGGCCAAGACTTAGTTCATTGAGATGAGTCCACAAATCATAAATTGTAAAATATGCTGGAATCACTTACATCTCAATTTGCTCAGATCATAGGCTTACTGGATTTTTTTCTTATCTATTTGGAGAACATAAAATGAGGATATAATTTCCTTTGTGTGGAGCCTAGAAGTGGTGATCAGGTCTTCATAGTTTTCATATTTTAATTTCACAAGACAAGAGTATTAGTATGGCAACTCCCTGAGGGCAGGCAGAGCCCAGTTTTTTGGCCTTTTTTTGTATCCCTAGCACTTAGTACAGTTCCTGGCCCTTGCTAAGTCTGACTGATGACTACAACTATTCAAATTAAACTCATACAAGGTTGTTTTATAAGACAGAATTCCAAAGTCACTGATACTTGGTCTGTCTGGAACAGAAGTAAGACCCAGGAAAGCAGCCCAAAGGCCTCTCATAGCCATAGGTACCATGGTTCCTGGCACTTTACTCCACAGAACGCCCCACAGATCCTCACTAAGAGTCAAAGTACTTTGAGTTCACATATAATTCTAATAGTTAATCTGCTAGACAGCAGCCATTTTGGTATCCTCTTACTTCCCTGCTTCAGAAACTCAACCAGCCCTCTTTTACTTCCAGGATAAACACAACCTCCTCTGTTTGGCCTTTAAAGCCTTTCACCTCCTTAACTGGGCCTCTTCAGGCACACTCTATTCCAACCACACTCTTGCTGGTTGCTAATCCATGACATCCTATCTCTGGGTCTTCCCACAGGTTAATCTTTGAGACTGAAATGTCCTCCTTCCTCTTGTCTACCTAGAGAAGGCCTAGCAGCTAGGCCAAGTGCCACTTTCTCCCGGAGGCCTTTTCTTATTGCTTCATGCGTGCTCTGTCTCTCTGATCCCAAGGGGGGAAAATGTGTCTTTGTTTCTTAAAAGGCAAAGGAAACTCCCTCTATCAAATCTCTCCCCACCATAATTCACCCAAGATTAGGCAGTCACCTGATTTTTTTGGTTTATATAACGGGGAAACAGATTCCTAAGTTATAGTGACAACAAGCAATTGAGGAACAAATCATTTGCAAGCAAACTGTTACCTGTGGTGGGGAAGGAATAGGCTTCTCCCTGAAGGGAAGGTGGGTCAGGAGTAGAAAGTTCTCCATCCTCATTGAGATCCAGGCTTTTGGCCACACCCACTTCCTTTAGCCATTTCACAGTCTCACCAGGATGCTCAACAATTCTTAGCCCCCGAGCTTTCAATCACCATCATCCACAGCAACAACCTTTTATGATCCCAGAAGAGATAGGGGAGCAGGATGCCCAGGGACTGGACCCGCACAGCATCCCACCAGCCCACAACACTCCTCCACGCTGGTTGGCAAGATGGTTGGTACTCTTCTTGCCAGAAATTCTTCTCACAAGAAACTACAAGTCGCCACAGTGTTAAATTCTGGGGCAGAATCTGACACGTCCGTGGCAATGTTCAAAATGCAGGTGCTACCGAGTCTGTTTAAGAAGACAGTCTAGGATAATACCAACTTTTTCAGCTGCTGAAACTTTCCTTGGGCCCCTCCAACCTCCTTGTTTTCCATCTATATGATGGCTACTCAGGGATACTTTGGGAGATTCCCAAAAGGGTCTTGCCCTCAGAGACGGTGGCTTGTCTGTGAGATACATCAATGCACTATCTGATCACCACTGTGAGATTCTCTGCACACACTGCTTTCTCCTCTTGGATAATGTCACCTATTTAATTTTGTTAATGTTATCTTCTAGACCCTCGATTCAGAATCTAGAGAGACTGGAGTCCAGGCATTTTAAAATCATGAATTCTTATGTTTATTAAGTGCTTATTGTGTGTAGATCCCCATAACTAGGCTGTTGAGGGGATAGAGAAGATACAATTTCTACCCTCCTGTTTCTTACAGTTTGGTAGCATAAGGTATAACACAGATTTCACTCAAGTCTAATTTCCTGGGGTGGGGTGGGGGAACTAACTCCTCCTCCAATAGCTCTTCTATATATGACCTGAGAAGTGCTGTGACCCAAACATTCTCGCCTCTATGGCCTTTCTGATGAGAGGCTTCTCTAATCTCTGTTAGGCTGGTCAAGGGACACTGTCTGTTACCAGGCCCATCAGGTCTAACAGATAAATAGATTAAAAGGAACCCCAGGAGTGGTCTAACCCACTATTTTCTTAGATGACCCAAATAAATTAAATGACCTGCCCAGAGTGAGAAGCAGAGATGAGCACTGAAGCCTGGTGTCCTGGGTCCCCAGGCTGTGATGAGCTATATTAACGATGGTTGGTCATTTGTCCTCAGAGATCCAGACACCTTCATTTTTTCATAGAATCCTTAAAATGGAGCCAAAAGGTCCCTCAGAGGCCACCTTGTGCACTGCCTTCATTTTATAGAGAGTGAACCCAAGGCAGAAGAAGGTTAAGTGACAATCCCATGGCCACATTGGTAGGAAAGGGCTGAAGCTAAATTCACACTCAGGTCCAGCAACCACAAATTTGGTGCTCTTTCCACTGGACTATCTTCTCCTCTCTCCACTGGACTATCTTCTCCTCTCTCCACTGGACTATCTTCTCCTCTCTCCACTTCTTTCCAGTTACATTGCTGTAATGTAAGCCCCGAATGATGTTGTTCTGGCTCAGAACGAGTCATTCTAAAAAGCCAAGTTTTCAATCTATTTATAGGTCTAACCTCTCTCACCCAAACTTTCATTTCAACCATTAAAAGATTTGTTATGTGCCTACTTTGTGCAAAGTGTTATTCTCCAAGTGTCCGAAGACCCAACCACCAAACCCAGTGAGATGGGCATTACCCTCAAGAAGCTTACGTTTTACTGGGGAGATGCAGAGAAACACAAAGAATCTACCAAGTGATGCAAGGTAGTTTCAAGAGGTGGAAAGCACAAAAGCCTGAAAGGCCTCCTGGAGGAGGCAGTACTTGGCCTCTACCTGGCAGGAAGGAAAGTAAGGGAGTCCCCAGTGCCTCAGCCCTTCCACCAGCCTTGCTCCTCCGGCCAGGGCTTCCAAGGCTTTACATTCCCTTGGCTCCAAATCCTAGGCATTCTTCCACATTGCTTTGAGTGAAGGCTTCCCTGACTGGGAATGATCTTTTCATCCTTCCAAAGCCTCCCCAATTAACATCTGCCTTGTCATTTGCTCCTCTATGGCTGTCCTAGACTTCCGCTTAAATACCGTGTTTACAGGTCTCATCCCAGCTCCGCTGTGACTGCCCAAGCCTGGGTGGATCACCCCATCTCTTTCTGGGCCTCAGTCTCACATGCAAAATGAAGAGGATGGATTACGTTATATGTAGAGTCCCTGGTGACTCTAACATTCCGAATTCCACAGCTCTGTCTCTCATCTTCCCAAGATCTTTGAAGACTAGAGTCACGGCCTAGTGGTATAATAATAACAGCCAGTGTGTACGGGGTGCTTCAAGGCTCACGTGTTATTTCATTTGAGAGGATTCTTTTTTATCCCCTAGAATATAGAGCACGTGCTGGGTACTCAATACATGTGAGCAAAATCTTCATTTAAGATAGCTAATTCCAGTCTGCAAAACATCCTGCTGGGTTCATCCTTTGGAAAGGATTTAGCTCTGTCATGGAAGCTGATTTTGAAAGAATTTTAAGTAAAAAGTCTTGGGAGAACAAGAAAACGTTCCAACTAAGTGACTAATGGGAGTCTAAATTGTGGTTACATTTAAATTGCTTTATCAGCACCCTCTGTCCTGATGGCATTTTGTGAACTTATTGTCATTTTTCTTGGAATTCAAATGGATGTGACCCGGTAAGCATCGGGTCTTGGATTCAAGCTAGAAGACATTCCAGTTTCATAATCGAAGTCCAAGCCTAAGATCTCGACTTATCACCAAAGCTAACTGGGCCTGAGAGGCTGGTTTTCAAGCCAAGGACAAGAGATCATTCACTATTGGCACCAGCGGGACGCCATTCATGATTTTTCCTCCCTACCCTGAGACTCTGTCTCAGGCCCAGGCTTTTGAGCTGCCCGGCATAGCAGAGAGTTTCTTCTCTGCTTTCTCATTTAAGTGGCTGCCACTAAGCAATCAGAAGAGACTTCAGGCCTGGAGATCAGTCCCGATTCCCTCTTTTCACAAGTGAGGAAACTGAAGACAGGAAGAATGAGGGCCCATGTTCTCTCCCGGGATCCATCCAGTGTCAAGAGAGAAGTCCTGTGATAACATGCAAGGGAAAGGAAAAGTTGTGATTTACAGGAGGGGAAACTGAGGCCCTCAGAGGCAGTGAGGCAAGGAAAAGGGACTTGGCAAAGGATCCCCATCAAGTGAAGTAGGCAGTTGGGTGGTTCGGTGGATAGAGTGATGGGACTGGAGTCTGGAAGACCTGAGTTCAAATTCAGACTGGACACTCACTAGATGTGTGATCGTGGGCGAGCCACTTAACCCCCTTTGCCTAGAAGGCTGCTGGGTGGCTCAGTGGATGGAGTGCTGGGCCTGGAGGCTGGAAGACCTCGGTTCAAATCCAGCCTCAGATTTCTGTCTGCCTCAGTGTCCTCATCTGTAAAATGGGGATAACGGCCCCTACCTCCTATGAGGTTTCTGTGAAGATGAACCTAGGCGCTAGGAACCCAGAACCCAGAACCCAGGGCCTGCTCAACTCCATAGCTCTGAACGCGGGAGTCCGAGGAGTTGAGTTCAAATCCCAACCACGGCTAGCGCCGTTAGCGCTCTCTCCCCTCCCCCTCCCCCGACTTTTGCCATTTATAAAATGAGGGCGCTGCGAAGGGTCGCAAACCACGTGACTCCCTCGGGGGGGGGAAGGGGCGGGCTACATTTGGGACCCTAAGTCACGTGCCCTCGCGGTGCCTCAGTCTCCGCCTCGGTTCCCTCTTCAGTCCACACAGGAACCCGAGCCTCAAGGCCGAAGCTGCCCCGCCCCGGCCCCGCCCCGGCCCCGCCCTCTAGACCGGCCCCGCCCTCTAGACCCGCCCCACTCCGGCTCGACCTCGACCGCTTCCTGCCCGGCGCCCTTCGCCCGGCGCCCTTCGGCCTTCTCCCGTCGGCCACCGCGCCAGCCCCTCCTCGTCTTCCGGGAGCTTGCGCATGCGTATAGCTCAGGCTTCCGCGAGGACTTCCGGGCACGGCGCCGCGGGCCAATGGGCGCTGGCGGCGCCGGCGTCGGGGGCGGGGTCAGGGTTAGTGTCATGGCCGCCGCCAGCGGGCCTAGTCCTGGGCTGCGCGCGCCGCTCTGAGCAGAGGCCGCAGCCGAGGAGCCGCCGCGTGTTCCCCGCCGCCCCCCGCAGCCCCCGGGGCCTCGTCCGTGCGCCGCGGGGCCGCCTGCGCCCCTTCCTCGGGAGGCGCCATGGGCACCGTGCACGCGCGGGTAACGTGGGGCCGCGTGGAGAAGGGGAGGGGGAGGGGGAGGGGGAGGGGGGAGAGGGAAGGCGGGGCCCTCAGGGTCCCGATTTACAGGAGGGGAAACCGAGGCCCTGAGAGGCGGAGAGCCCCGAACGTGCGTTGACGTCGGGGCGACTCGTTCTTGTTAGCGTCCCCGTCATTCTCACGATCCCGATCGAAGTCGGGGCGGGACCTGGTTTTACAGGCGGGGAAACTGAGGTTTGCCAGGGCACCCCCCCTGCAGTGACAGCTGGACGTGGAAGCCGGTTCGTGTCAGGGTCACGGATGTGTTTACACACACAACGCGGGCGCGACGTGCGTTCACCTTTACGTGAACTGGAGGGGGAGGGGACCTTGTGGTATTGTTGGGGAAACTGAGGCCCGCGCCCTCCCTCTGCTGTCAGCGGGTGACGCAGGGAGCCAAGAGAGCTGGCAGAGAGCCGATCGATGAGGACGATCGATCGATCGATAAGGATGATCGATCGATCGATCAATGAGGAGGGGAAGAGGTGTGCACGCATAGATGGTCACGTGCCTGCTCTTCCATGTGTCCAGGGATGGAGATACCCTGAACAGAGAGAGATGGGCAGCCAAGTGACAGGGTGGGCAGAGTGCTCCTCCTCCTGGGTTCAAGTCCAGCCTCAGACGCTCACTAGCCGGGTGACCCTGGACAAGTCCCTTCCCCCTGCCTCAGTTTCCTCATTTGTACAATGGCGATAAATAACAACACCTCTCAGAATTGTTGTGAGGGTCGGTACTGACTCTCTGTGACCCCACAGACCGTCCTGTCAGTGGCTTTTCTTGGCAAAGACACTGGAGTGGGAGTAGTTTGCCCCTTCTCCAGTGGATTAAGGCAAACAGGGTAAAGTGACTTGTCCACGGTCACACAGCTAGTAAGTGGAGAAGTTGGGTCCACCAGGCTGCCTTTCTAACTTCAGAGCGCTCCATAAATGCTAGCTCCTCATTTTACAAATGAGGAAACTGAGTCGCGGAAAAGGGCAGTGACTTGCCCAAGCGTCTGAGGTGATACTGCAGCCCTGTTCTTCCTGATTGTCAGCGTGACGTCCGGCATGCCCCCAGCATGCCCGGTCAGCCTCTCACGGATGAAAGCATCGAGGGTCACCTTGGGACGTCCTTCTGGAAAGGGCTGGCCGGGCCTGGGGATCAGCCGGTGTTAGGAGGATGAGGTTTGAGGCCTGGAAAGGACCTTGAAGGTCACCCGGTCCAGGCTCCCAGGTGAAGGGACTGTCCCGGCGCTGACGGGAGCAAGGTTGCCTGGTGTTTGCCTGGAGGGTGAGCTTTCTAGCCATCGGGGCCACCCCGGGGCAGGGGGAGAGGAGAGAAGGTCACACATTCCTTCCTGCTGGGTGCAGTGCACTGGGAGACGCAGCCATGACCAGGGAGGGTCAGCCTGGGTCACTGTGTGCGGCTGGCTGTGTGTCCAGCTATGCTCCCAGCCTGGCCGGGAGGGCAGAGGTCCAGAGGCCCCTGCACGCATTCCACAGGCTCTTAGGTAACAGCCAGTAGGGACTTGTCAGGTCATTTGACCTCATCCTGGTGATTCGTGGAGGAGGAAGCTGGAGCCTAGAGAGGGGGGGTGACACAGCGGATCATTGACTAAGCCCGACCCCCAGGCAAGCCCAGTAAGCCAGCTTATTAGGTAGCTGCTCTGTGACCTTCCGAGCCTCAGTAAAATGGGGTAATCGTAGTGCTTTCCCCTTCCCCCCAACTGAAGTTTTGAGATGGTGCATGTAAAGTACGTTGTGCGCTCCCCTGTGCAGGTGAACACGCTATCTCGGCAAGGAGGCTGGGCTGGGAGGCAGAGAGCCAGGGGTCCGATTTTGGCTGAGTTGCTAACCACCTGGGTGATAGTGGGCGGGTCACCAGTGGCTCCTCGGGCTTCGGTTACCTCATCTGTACAATGGGGCTGTTGGCCCAGATGATCTCTGAAGCCTCTTCTCCCACTGAATCCCGTATCCATGCTCAGCCGCTCACTGGAGAAGGCAGTGAGTCCCCTCAGCCTGTGGACTTCAGAATACAGGATGAGAGCTGATGGTAATTCAGCCCTCTGCAGTCTGCATGGGGTTTTAGATTGGTCCCCAAGAGGTCATTCTAGCATTCTCCCTGTTTCTGTAGTTGGAGAACCCTGCAGTTCTTCCTGGAATGGAATGCGCCCCCCCCCCCCAGGCTTCCCCCAGGGACATAGACATCAGGAGGTCTGGGGGGGGGTGACTTATGAGCCCAGACTGCCCACCCTTAGGAGAAGCAGCAGAGGTGCCCACAGTGGAGTCTGAGGAGGTTTCTAGGGCAGGATATTGCACAGGTTTTCCTATCCCTTGACTGTGATGATAGCAAGTGGTTCTGCTTAATCCTGTGTTTGTCACAAGGGAAGGTTCCATCTGGGGGAGATGGAAACGAATGACTGGAAAAGCGTTTATTAACTGCTTACCCCGTGTGTGCCAAACAGAAGGTTGAAGGCAGTTCTGCCTTTTTTTTTTTTCTTTTTGGTGAGGAGATCAGGGTTAAGTGACTTGCCCAGAGATACACAGCTACAGTTCTGCCTTAAGGAGCTTACTTCTAATGGGGGGGTGGGGGTGGGGGCACACCACATAGTAGCCAAGCAGTGGCTCATGGAAGGGTTTCTCTTTTCATAAAAGTAGGTTGATATGCCTTGTCCAGGCGCAGTGACAGAGTTGATGTGCTTGACTCCTCAGTGGCCAGTGAGAAGCCTAGCTGGAGCTGGGGCTGGCATAAAGGGTTTATCCAGGGCATGGTTTCTGGGCCTGGCATCTGGGGGGCTGGTGGGAAAACATCTTGGGAATGGGGTTGAAATGTGAGATTGTAGCTTTATAGATCACAGAATCATCTCTTTGGGGTACAGACCAAGCGGTGCTTTGCAGGGTCAGAGGGTATGCAGTTTTATAGCCCTTTGGGCATAGTTTCAAATTCATTCTCTAGAATGGTCGGATCAGTTTACAATTCCACCAACAGTGCATCAGTGTCCCTACTTTTCCACATCCCCTCAAACATTTGTCATTTTCCTTTTCTGTCGTATTAGCCAATCTTTTGGGTGTGAGGTGGTACCTCAGAGTTGGTTTAATTTACATTTCTCTATCAAGAGTGATTTAGAGCATTTTTTCATGTTACCATTGATTGTTTTGATTTCTTCATTTGAAACCTGCTTGTTGATAACCTTTGACCGTTTATTGAGGAATGTCCCTTTCATAAACTCGGCCAAGTTCCTTATGTAATTGAGAAATTAAGTCTTTCTCAGAGAAACTAGACGTAAAACTTTTTTCCTCTGTTTCCAGGGGTATGTTTCTAGCCATCAGGGAAGCAGTCAGTAATTAAGGAGGGATTGAAGATTATGTTTTATAAATTGTGCAAGATTTGGCGATCTGCATCCATGGAAGAAATTTCCACGTAGGGAGTTTCTAACCCTGATGATCCTTTCATGTCTCCCTGAGCCTTACTCCTGAGTCTCTGTGCCAGCACCTCGTGCTTTTTCATTCATTCATTTGATTCTCGTGACTAACCCTCCGGAGCAGATACTGCAGGTTCCCTCCCCATTTGATAAATGAGGAGACTGAAGCTTGAAGTAAGTAGTAGAGGCAGGGGCAGTCATATATGCGTTCCTGGGTCTAAGTCTGGGAGGGGCCCAGAGGCTGTCTGGTTTGCCCCCCCCCCAGAAAGGGAAACTGAGGCCCAGGAAGACTGACACGCTTGTCCCAAGGCTAGTCAGAGGCAGCCGCTATATCCGCCCCCCAGAACCAGGAGGATAGGGATGGTCACAGACACAGCAGGGGGTAGAGGGAGACCATAATCGGCTCACCCCTTCCTGCCCTTCCACTCTCCTCACACCATGCTTGCCCTGAATGTTCTGCGGGCCACTGAGCCAGGACTCCTGGCTGTGCCTCGCTCACCACACTGGCTCCAGACCTTTTCACTGGCTGCCCTCCCATGCCCTCCATCTCTGTCTACTGGCTGAAATCCCACCCTGTACAGGAAGCCTTTCCTAATCTTGCTGAATAAGCTCATCTCTTCCCCTGTGACTGGCCTGGGTTATCCCGGGTCTGTCTGGTTTGTATGTTGCTGTTGGCGTGTGTCTCCTCCAATAGACTGTGAGCTCCCAGGGAGCAGGGCCAGCTTTGGGTTTATGTTGGCCTTTCTGTGTGCCTCCAGGGCTTAGCACAGCACCTGGCCCGTGGCAGGTACCTGGTCAGGGCCTGCTGCCTGCCTGACCAAGGTGGTGATTGGGCCATCTTGTGAAGAGCAAGAAGAAGGTTTTATTAGGTGGCCTAGTGGATAGAGCTCTGGCCTTGGAGTCAGGAGGACCTGAGTTCAAATGGGCCCTCAGACACTTGACACTTACTAGCTGTGTGACCCTGGGCAAGTCACTTAATCCTGATTGCCTCACCAAAAAGAAAAAAAAAACAAGAAGAAGGTTTTACTGGAGCTGGCAGAGTTTGGACCTGATGTGGAGGATGAGGAGGTGGGAGAAGGGTGCAGATGAAGCAGGAGAATGGGCAGCATTGGCCAGTCTGGACCCGAGGCCCCCCACCGAGCGCCAGGGCCTCGTGCCTGCCCACTCCTCCTTTTCTCACCCTCTTCCTTCTTCTCTGCTCGTGCCTGAGAGTCACTGCCCGTCCTTATTCAGAAACCAGGTGAATACAGAGAGGGAGAGTCCCTGCCATCTATGAATGCCCGTCTTACCCCCTCGATCTTTCTAAATGCAAAGAAATGAAAATTTGGAGGGTTTTAAAAATAATAAGAAATCTCCTCCATTTATATTTATGCCTGGACATGCAATTTGGCTTGATCAGCCATTACTGAGCTGCATCCGGGAGACGTGGAGAGCCAAAATGGCATCCAGTCCAAATGTAATTGTACAATTATTTGGGTTATAAGTATTTAGATAACCAGTCTAGCCTTTATGTAATTCAAATGATTTCTTGATTTTAGAGAGTTCTGTACATGTGTCTTTATCTTTATTAATATATTCTGATTTTTGGTAATTAGGGCTAATAAAACTAATTTGGTTTTGAAATAAAAAAAAGAAAAGAATCACTGCTTGTGTTGTCAAATTCACCAGCCCTGTGTCATGGCTGAGGGGCCAGCTCAGGTTGGGGGGGAGGGGCGTCTGTGATCCTTCCCCTGTCCCACCAGCTGGGCCCCCAGCCCGTTGTTCTCATGTAATAGACCTGCCCTGACTGCTGGTGTTGGGCCCAACACTGGGGCATTGTGCAGCCCGTGGTGACAGTGGTCAGTGGAGGTGTGTCATTGTTGGCTGCTTTTGGCTGTATCTGCCCCTAAGCCATGATTTTTCTCTTTTAGAGCTTGGAGCCTCTTCCGGTCAGCGGGCCTGACTTTGGAGGTTTGGGAGATGAGGCTGAATTTGTGGAAGTCGAACCCGAAATCAAGCAGGAGGTCCTGGAAAACAAAGACGTGAGTGTCTCCCTGGAGGCCCACCCAAGAGCAGACTTGGGAGCATCCTATCCCCTTGTGTTCAGTGTTGCCCTGCCCAAAGGCCACAGTAGGGAAACTGAGGTCCAGAAGGGGGAAGGGCAGGCAGAGAAGGGAACAAGCTGGCGGCCTTTGGGCTTCAAGCTGCCATTTTGGAATTTTCACAGATCGTGCTGAGCTAAGGGTTGGTTGGTTGGTTTTGAAGAGTGTCTCCAATGGAAATTTGGCACTGGGAAGCCAGAGTTGAAAGGAATACATGTGAAGTTAGAGACCAGGGAAGGAGAACCAAACTGTAGTGAACTTTGGGCATCACACCAGATCCGTGAGACGTGAGCCTGGGGCACAGAAGGCGTTCACTGAATGTTTGTTGGCTGACCGACTGACCACTCTCCTCACTCTGCTCAGGTGGTGGTCCAGCATGTCCATTTTGATGGCCTGGGAAGGACCAAAGATGACGTCATCATGTATGAAATCGGAGATGTCTTTAGGGCTAAAAATCTCATTGACGTGAGTATTGTCTTAATCATCAGTGTTATGGTTTGCAAAAACACTTCCAGTCTGTTAGGTAACTCAGATCTTGTGACCATCCTGAGGCCAGCAGGTAAGTCTGCCTCCATTTTATGGAGGAGAAAAGAGCCCCAGTGATGTTACGAGGGTTGGCCAAAGCCCCCTGCCAGTCAGGGCTGGGAGCAGGGCTTGGGGCTGCTGGCGTAAGCTTCCTGTGGGCAGTGTCCTGTTGCATCCTGGTGTTCCACAGACCATGTGGGTGCTTGTGACATTTTTCCTTCTAAAATATTATATTTAAAACCATCTGTGTGTCGTAAATGTTTGTGTGTAGCATGGTCTTGGTATGGAAATAGGCGTTATCTCTGTTTTTGCTTTAAAAATAATGAGCTATTGCATTTCTAGTCATTGTCCCCTCCTCAGTACATTATAAGGTTCCCTTGGCTCCTTTGCAGGTGATGAGGAAGGCCCACGAAGCCCGGGAGAAGCTGCTCCGCCTCGGCATCTTTAGGCAGGTGGACGTTCTGATTGACACATGCCAAGGTATGTGAGCCTGGGCCAGCCTCAGGTGTGGGTGGCTGGGGGTCTCTCAGCCAGTCGGGTCTCTGCAGACGCTGGTGTTCTTGAGCATGCCACACCCAGTGAGGTGAAGGAGAAGATGCCTGGCTCTTGAGACTCCAGGTTATTGGGGGAGCTTGGCTCTGAGCTCACCAAGCAGTGCCCTTCTCCCATGCTCTGCCCCCACCTTCCTCCCCGGATCTGGCAAATTTGAGGGGAACCTCCGTCCATGAGAGGCTGGGGGGTGATGCAGAGAGCCCTGGCCCAGGGTCGGGAGACCCGGGTCCTCATCCAGCTCTGCTCTTGGCTCCTTCGGGGACCCTGGGCAAGTCTCTCAGCCATTCTGGGCTTCCGTTTTCTTGTCTGTCCAAGGGGGGTGATGCTTAAACAGTAAAACAAGATGATGTGGGGGGGTCGTCATACACCCTCTGTGGGGTCGCTATGGTCCGGGGCTCAAACAGTCATGGTATTTCTTCTCTTTGTCTCGACTGGCAAACACTAGGGGTGCGTTGGCTCAGTTCTGCACAGGGAGAGGGGTACCCGGGTCCAGCCGGGCCTTAGAGGCCTCCTGTGGCTGCAGGTGTGGGATCCGCTGAGAAGGGCAGAGCTGTCATTTGAGACAATCAGGCACGGTGGGCACCATGGTGCCTTAGACCTCATTAGCTGTGTGACCCTGCCTCAGGTTCCTTATCTGTAAAATGAGAATAATAATAGCATTGACCCCCAGGGATGTTGTGAGGTCCAAATGAAATTTTATTTGTACATACACATGCACCTATGCATACACACATATGTACACACATGCATAGATATGTACATATACAGGGGTGTGTGTATATATGTACATACACACATACACGTATATATATGCTTTGCCAACCATAAAACGCTACATCAATGCTAGCTGTTGTTCTTTTCCCTCCTTCTTGGTATCTCTCCTTATTTCTGTCCCTTCCTCCCTGTTCTTCTCTTCTCGGGCTCACTCTTTCCAGGTAAGAGGGTCAGTCAGTAGGTGCCAGCTTAGGGGCTGCTGTCCCTCTCCACGTAGGAGCCCCCCCCCCAGCATCCTTGACAGATGGCGCGGCCGTCCAAACGCCGCAGGCCCAGCAGCTCCCGAGGCAGCCGGGTGGGTTTGAGGGCGGCTGATGCTTTGTGATTTCAGCCCCACCTGCTTCCCATGAGGGCTGCCCTTAGGAGGCTCATGCGGTCAGCCTGAGCCCTCTTCTCTAGGACAGACCCAAGCGGGCTTTTACCTGGGCCACGATTCCTAGATTTCCTCACGTGCTGACGGGAAGAGCTGTTTTTTATCGTGGTTGTAGCAAGCTCTGACAGACGCGAATGTGTTCATATACAAAGAGTGGGGAAGAGGGGATTGGACCAAGAGCCGTGACTTTGGATAGACACATATCAAGTGTCAGGCGGCAGTGCCCGCGCTGCCCTGCTGCTGCTGGGTCCCCTCCCGTGCTTCCTTCTGCCCGCTTACACGTTTCATTGACTGTCCTTGCTTTCCTTTGTTTTTTTCACAAATACCCCTGTCGGCCGGCGGGGCCGCCCTCCCTCCCAGTGACCAGTCAGCACAGACCCCAGAGGAGAAGGCTTGTGTCAGGCAGGCCGGGCCCCTCTTTGCTTGGCCGTAGTGGCGGTCGGTCACCGCGTTGGTCAGGGTGCCTGAAGTTTCCAAGGCTGTTCTCCTTTACAGTACAGCTGTTGTTGTTCACCTTTTCTCTGGGGTCTTCCTGACTCCCGACCCTGCCCACCGTGCCGCCAGCTGCCCAGTGTTTGCAGGCTTAGAACAGTCTTAGGTAGCGATGCTCAGAAAATAAGACGTTTCCCTGCGCGTGGAGGGGCAGGCTCTGAGCGGGAGTGCCCATCCGTGGACTGTGTTTTCCGCGTCCGTGAGGGGACATTTCCTTCTTGCTTTTTGTCGTGTGACCAGAGAAGCGACGCTGGTCGTCCTTCCTGGTCTTCACTTGCTCGTTTGTTCCTCGTGTAGGCGACGACGCCCTCCCGAACGGGCTGGACGTCACCTTCGAGGTCACTGAACTGAGGCGGCTGACGGGCAGCTACAACACCATGGTGGGCAACAATGAAGGCAGTATGGTACGCTTGTTTCTCTTCTTTCCAACCCTGGGGTGGGGCCAAAAACATGGTGGAAGGAATTCTGTTTTCCTCATTTCTCAGAGTTTCCTCTTGTCCAGTGGAACAGAATTAAATCATAGAATGTTAGGGCAGAGAGAGGCCTCAGAGAAGGGTCCTTGGCCGTCCCCTCCAGGTCCAGGTGAGGGAGGGCTGGAGGGTGGTTGTGGCTCCCAGTCAGCAAGGGCAGCTGCAGAGCTCACCGGAGGCCAGGACTCCTGGGGCAGCGTCGCTGCCACCCAGCTGTCCGGGCTCAGAACGTGGCTCCTTGGCACCGGGGTCGCCGGGCAAGGCAGCTGCTGCCCTGTCTGCAGCTCAGGTTCCCCCTTTGGGAAATTAGGGAATGGGGCTCCGACCAAGGTCTGTCAGCTTCAAGACCTGGGATCCTAGGACCCCCTCCTTCTCTTCTGTAGATGCTCTGCCCCGCCCAGAGTCACCTGTGTTAGCAAAACAACAAAATAATTCAAGAATTCTTTTTTGCCTGCCCCCGCCCCAGGTATTGTGCTCCTGTCAAAGGCCTCCTAGCACTGGGCTCCCCATTTAAGTAGAACTTTCTGCCACTGGAGTTGGATTTGCCTGAGCTTTACAAAGAAAGCTTTAGGAAGCCTTCTACATATCACATCGGTGCCCTTTCCGGAGTGCAGCCTTCCCCGATAAGACAAACTGTCCCAAATGATGGTCCCAGCGTCACTGTTTGACGATAGAGAATGCCGCTTCCGGCTCCTGGGGGCCCTCCTCCCTGTGAGAAGCAGGAGCGAGAACATGCTTCCTCCTTCGTCCTCTGGGCCTGCCCTGGAGCTCACCTGAAGTGGGTTATTTTTTTAGGGATTTTCATCTTTGGTATTCTGACCTTGACAGACATCAGAAAACACAAAGAGCAGGAGAAAAAGGATCCTCCGTGAGACTGTTGCTCTCTAGTACTAAGAGCACATCTCTCTTTGTCCCTTGTCCCGTCAGCTCGCTTGCTGTTCTGCGTGTCCGCGTCTGCCTTGGGACTTTTTCCTTCCAGGTGTGTGCGTGTTTTAGTGGTTTTATGGATGTTCTTTGGATGTCACCGTCAGTAGCTCCCCTCTCTTACCCTCTATCAGAAGCCCTCCCTTGTCACAAGCACACGCAGTCCAACCAACCACATCCACGTGGCGGCTGAGTCTAAGGACGTGCATCTCGCTCCATGCCTCTGTTTTTAGGACTTTTGAATGGATTCATGTGGAAGAGCATGTACGCATTTGGGTTTTAAGGACAGAAGAGTATCGTCTGCTCTATGGTTCTGATAGATGACTCTTTGGGGTGTGGGCTAACATCTCAAAAGACTGATCCACTGTACTCTGGGTTTTCTGCTTTGTTGGAGGGGACAGATGATCCTCAAAGGCCCTCAGCCAAAAAGTGACTCTAGAACTTTTGGCCTAGAATGTGATTTTTCACTGGTTTGTGACTTCTTAATCTTTGAAGACAAATAATAAAGCCATAACGTGGACATGGAAAGACCCCTTAGAGGTGTCTACTGTGGTCCTCCTCTTGCTTCACCGGAGAGGCAGAGGCTTGGGGTCAGGCCTAAGTTAGCAGGGTCATGCAGGCCTCCCCTCCCGGGCAGTGAGTTGATGAATTGTTCTGTCAGTGGTCGTGGCTCGGGCCGATGGAAGCTCTGCTGAGCAGGGGTCCCGTGGACCGTCTCGGCCTCTGCCAGGGTTTCCAGCATCTCTGGTGGGTGTTCATGCCAGTTCTGGCCAGTTCACAGTGAATCCCCTTTTGCTATCTTGGCCTGAGTGAAGACAGGACAGCATTTGGGCGCTGGGGGTCACCCAGAGTGTCGCGGGGTCCAGGGTCTGCTTCCTGTGTTTGCCTCCCGAGCAGCTCCCAGGGTCCCTCGGGCTGGACTGAGCCACATGCTTCTCTCCCTGCCACAGGTCCTCGGCCTCAAGCTCCCCAATATTTTTGGCCGTGCAGAGAAGGTGACTTTTCAGTTCTCCTATGGAACAAAGGAAACTTCTTACGGCCTCTCCTTCTTCAAGCCTCAGCCTGGAAACTTCGACAGGAAGTAAGTGGGGAAGTGGCTCCCAGGGGCCCGAGGTGGGGGTGGGGGTTGATTGCAAGGCTCACTGGCTCTGCCCGCTGCCCCCTCCTTTTCTCGCAGCTTCTCTTTGAACCTGTATAAAGTCACCGGCCAGTTCCCGTGGAGTTCCCTTCGTGAGACAGACAGAGGCGTGTCAGCCGAGTACAGCGTGAGTAGCGCCTCGCGGACAGTTATGTGAAGAGGGGTGCCAGGTGGGCTGGGAGGGAAGAGCATGGCGCCCGGCTGATGCCCTGTGCCCGTGGCTGGGCCCCTGGGGGGCCACGCTGATCAGGACTGTCTGTGGATCCACAGCCTGGGCTCTCTCCACCTCTTGGTCCTGCTCTGTGCATTAGGCCCTCACGGCCTCAGGGTCTCATGGATTTGGCTCAGGAGCACTGGGGGGCGGGGAGGATGCGGCTGTCCCCAGGGCCCCTCCACTTCCCCTCTCTTTAGCTTTACCTTGATTCCCCCGTCTGCCTGCTCCCCTTTCCTCTGGCCTACAGGCAGAGTTCAATCAGCTGTGTCCTTGAAAAACCTTCCCTAGCCCCAGAGAGGGCAGTGCGGCGGGGAGGCTGGATTGGAGCTCAGGAAGATAAGTCTTCCTCACTCTGGGCCCAGTGTTCTGTCCACTGAGCTGCTGGTGGGAAAGTTGAGGCTCATAGGAAGTGCAAAGCCTTCCAGAGTCCCACGGCGGGCTTAACCTCCATTATTTCCCGCGTGTGTGAGTGTGTGTGACTGTGTGTGTGGGTGAGTGTCTGTGGTGAGAGTATATGTATGCATGTATACGTGTGAGTGTATGTGTAGGAGTATATGTGAGTGCATATGTGTGCATGAGTATGGTTAAGGTGTAATTGTATGTATGTATATGTGGGTGTGTGTAAGTGTACATGTGTGTATGAGTACATGTGTGTTTGTGTGAGCATGTGTGTGATGAGTATATATGTATGTGGTTGCGTGAGTGTATGTGTATGAGTGTGTATGAATGTGAGTATGGTTAAGATGTAACTGTATGTGTGTGTATGTGAGTGTAAGTGTTTGTGTATATGTTTGCGTGAGGTGAGGAATTGTGTGAGTGTATGTATATGCGTTTTGTGTGTGCTTATGGTTAAGATGTAATTGTATGTGTATGTATGTGAGAGTGTGTGTAAGTGTACATGTGAGTATGGTGAATGGGTGTATATGTTTGTGAATATATGTGTGGGCATGCATGTGTGCATGGGTATGTGCGTATGTATACATGTGATTGTGTGAGTGTATGTACACCAGTATGTACGAGCGTGTGTATATGTGCACGAGCATGGTTAGGTAATTGTGTGTATGTGTATGTGAGAGTGTGTATAAGTGTACATGTATGTGTGGGTATATATACGTGTGTTTGAGCATGTGTGTGCATGAGTGTATGTGATTGTGTGAGTGTATGTATATGAGTCTATGAGTGCATGTATATGTGTGAGTATGGTTAAGGTATAATTATATGTGTGTATGTGAGAGTGTGTGTAAGTGTACATGTAGGTGTGAGTGTGGTGAATGTGCATGCGTGTATGAGAGAGGCAGGCGCTCCTCGTGGAGGGAGCAGACAAGGGTGTGGCAGGTGGACGGCACCCGGACGCTGCGGTCCTGTGTGACTTTGCTCGAGCGTCTGGGCCTCAGTTTCCTCACCTGTAAAGCAAAGAGTTGAGCTCGATGGTCTTTCCTGGTCCCTCACAATGATTGTCTGCATGGGCCCCAGCCTGGGTGTGACCTGTGCTGCCCGCACCGTGTGCTTGGGGTGGGGGAGAACACGCGTGATGCTTGCTGAGCCACCTGTGTTCTGCCATGAGTGAGTGCTCAGCACGGCTCCACTCGTGGGCTGAGTGCCATGCGGCCTTTTCTTCTGTGTAGTTCCCCATATGGAAGACGAGCCACACCCTGAAGTGGGAGGCCGTGTGGCGGGAGCTGGGCTGTCTTGCGAGGACAGCTTCGTTTGCCGTTCGCAAGGAGAGTGGACATTCTCTCAAATCGTCTCTCTCGGTACGGATGCTTCTTTTCTTGGGTGGGGGGGAGGTTCCTGGCGGCGGCCGCGTACCCTCAAGGGCCCCTTTCCTTTGCCCTTTTGCCTGGACCTTCTCCAGGAGCACAGGAGTATAACATACCCTGAGCCACAGGTCAGTTTTAGGGGAGAAAAAAGTGGGTTGGGGGCACTGACTTCCCAGGCCCTGGGGCCATCCCCAGGGCCCCAGGGCACTGAGGCTGTGCAGGGAGGGGTAGGAAGAGGTTGAAAGGCCTGGGGGAAGAGGAGGGGTGCCCTGCATCACCTGGTGACCCCTGCTGAGAAGCTTTTTCACTTGTCCTTCCTCATCCGTACCTGAGGAATGGCTTGAGCTCTCCTCTTCCGTGGGGTCTGAGGAGGGCGGCGAGGATGGCCACTGGCTCCCCACTCCGCTTGGAGTGTTTCCTGCTAACATCAGGAAGCTGCGTGGAGGCCCCAGCTAAGGAGGCACTCCTGGGCAGGTGCGCAGTCCCCATGGATCTCATTCCCATTCCTTTCAGCACGCGATGGTCATCGATTCTCGGAACTCCTCCATCTTGCCGAGGAAAGGCGCTCTGTTGAAAGTGAACCAGGTAGTATCCACTCATGAATGCTTCATGACCGGGGAGGAGTCTCCCAGGGGTTTGGCAGGAGAGTGAGCCAAATGAAAGCATTTCTAAAATGCCACGTTTCATTTTATTTTTTTTTCCAACACGCCAGACTGGTCTTGGGGCCTGTGGCCCCGTTCTTGATGTGGCTCTGGAGCTGGGGGCGTGGGATTGAGGGAGGGGGGAGCATTGAGCTCGGTGATGCGGGCTGGGGTGGAGGTTTAGTTACTGCTGCCCAGGGGCTTAGCGGACAGTCTGCATGGTCACAAGTACAATTCTTGGGTCCTCCCGTAAGGTGACTCACTCACCTGGAGCAGCCTTCCATCCCCATGTTCAAGGCTTCTCTGAGGCTGTAGATGCCTCTCTTACTCAGGGGGCCTGAGACACCGGGCTTCAGAACCCACACAGAGATGCTTTTCCAGACCCCCCTTGCTGCCCGGCCTGCCTGACCAGTGTGGGCTCTTCTCTGCTCTCCTCTGCAAAACAGGAGCTGGCCGGCTACACGGGTGGGGACGTGAGCTTCCTGAAGGAAGACTTTGAGCTCCAGCTGAGCCAGCAATTCCTCATGGACACAGTGAGTGCCGGTCCTCAGCAGAAGGACCCGTCTGCCGTTCTCTGGGGCTGAGACCAGATCTTTTTGTGAAAACCCAAGCATTTGATTATTTCAGCTTTTGAGCCGAGGATGGAGATGTCTCTGGGCTCCCGTTTTCTTGGTTAGACCAGCTCCTTTTCATCCTCGTGCCTGAGCCCCTAAACGCATCTTCTGTTGTTGTTAGCCCTCATCCCAAAGATGGTGAGAGCTGCAGCCGAGCTGCGTGTGCATCTTTATACCCCAAACCGCGCTTACCAACCCTCTGCTGCGGGGCCTCGGCCAGACGCCAGACGTGGAGGTGACCCTGAGCTCAGCCGCCTCTGTGCTGCCAAGGCTTCCAGTCTCTGGGTCTGAGCCTAGCCTGGCTTTACGTGTCTCTCACTGAGGCATTGCAGATGACTCCACCTTTAGGGAAATGCAGGCTTTAAGTGTGGGTGTGATCTCTGCAGACTTTGTCTCAGTTAATTCTCATGCTGTCCTTGGGCTCTGGAGCACACGCATCGTTTATCTCCCTTGATGGAGGAAGAGACTGAGGGTCAGAGGGCGAGGGACTGCCCAGGGTCCCAGCTGGCAGATCCAAGGCCTTGATCCCAGGTTGCTCAGCACTCGGTTCCTGCCGGGCTTTTCCTCAGGATCCAGTGATTCTCTTGTATTAAATACCCATCATCTTGACCACCTTCTGCCCGTGTTGAGGCATCAATGTGTCCAAAGAGAGGGTTGAAGGAGGCGCCCTCACACAGTCCTCTCTCTCTCTAGGTTTTGTCGGCCTCTCTCTGGGGCGGGATGTTGGTGCCGATCGGGGAGAAGCCATCAAGCATTGCCGATAGGTGAGTCTGTTGCCGCCATCTTGGTCTTTGTATAGTCATTTTTCAGGAGAAACTGAGCCCCAAGGCTGGGGAAGCCCGGTGGTCCAAGAAGCTGGACTCTCGCCCACCTCGGACCCTTGCTGCCTGGCTGACCTTGCACAAGTCGATTCCTTCTCTCTGCCTCAGTTTCCTCATCTGTTTTGGCTCCTGCCATCCTCCTCTCTCTCCCAGGCCAGGCCTGGTCATTGTAATGACAGATTGATGTTGTTTTCATAAGATCTTGTGTAGAAAATTTGGGACTCTTTAAAGATGGCGGTGCTTTACACTTTGTTTGTTTGTTTTAATTGTGTTGTGAGTGTTACGTGGAGCCTCGCTTTGAGCCCGTCGGGTGTCAGAACGTGGCAGCGTCTCGTGTGGCAAGGCCCCTGGATTCAGAGCTGCGCTCCTTGCTGTCAGGGCTGAGGAGCCGAGGCCCACAGCAGGGCAGGGGTTTGCCTACGCCGCCGACAGCCGGCTCTGGCACTCCAGGCTGGTGCCGAGAGACGCTGCTCTCGCTTAGGAAGCGTTCATACTTCTGTGGCCCTTGGGGATATTTTTGAGGCATGTTCCTCACAACTACCCTGAGGGGGCAAACGGGGGCAGGGAGCGTCTCCAGAGCCCCACTAGTGACTGAGCCCTCACCGGTCTGGCCATGGTGTGCCAGTCTGCAGGCCCCCTCCCGCCCCCGTCCAGACGAAGCCTTTCCCCTTTAAATGTAGCTAAGGACCATTTACCTCCATGTAAATGGCTGCGGCTGACCCAGGCCACAGGTAGAAATGCATGATTGGTCTAGAACCCCAAGGCAGTTGTACTGTCGTGGGGGCTCCCAGAAGCCTGGGGGCCTGACCACATGACCTGTGTGACTGTAGGGGGGGGGGTCACACCCCTGCTGTCCCCTCTGTGAAGTAGAGGAGTGGCGGCCCAGGCTCGGCCCTCGGAGGAGGACTCTATGCCAAACAGCTTTTAGCCTTCTTGGAAGGTGAGCTCAGAGAAAACCCCTCCATTCCCCAAGCGCTCTTGAGGGCATGTGAGGAAAACGTGGAACGCAGGGTAGGAAGAGCCGGGCTCGGCTTCGGGAAGAGGCCCAAGAGACAGGAGGTGGGGCAGAGCAGGGAAGGCCCGGAGCCTCGGCTCAGCAGGACCGATGTCTGTGCTCCCCACCCTTGCAGGCCCTGTCTGCTGGGAGGATCGTTCAGCTGTAAGCCCTCGGGGTGGGGCCCAAGCCTGGGCCGTCATCAGGGCTCCCTGTGCCCTGTGCATCCGGGCCGGGGCGCCCCTGCTCTTCAGCTCCCAGTGACTTTGCTGCGCCCACGCAGGCGCTGGGCTTGGAGGCAGGATCTGATCCCAGGGCTTCCTGCTTCTGGGCTGCTCTGCGTCAGGCTGTGTTCTGAGTTCAGATCTCGCAGAACCAGCTGCTCTTATGTCTTCTGGTTGGCTGGGGGTCGTGGGGCTCCTGGGCTTCCCTGAGCGGCAGTGCTGTTGTCCTTTCAGGTTCTATCTCGGGGGGCCCACAAGCGTTCGGGGCTTCAGCATGTACAGCATCGGACCCCAGAGCGAAGGTGAGCCCGGGCCCTTCCTGCAGACTCTCACCTTGTGTGTCCCACGTTTGGTGCATCAGGGTTGAGTCCAGACTGGCGCCCTTTTAGGAAAGTGACTGGGAGGCCCCCTGCGGCAGAGGCCACGTTTTTCTTCAGCGCTCAGAGAGTTAAGGAAGGTGCCCATGGTTCTGGGTCTGAGTCTTTGCCTCTGTTTCCCTGACTTCAGCCTTTGCCTTCCTCACCCCGCCCCGGCCATTCTGGCCCCCCTCAGCTTCTCAGGCAGAGTGTTCTCCTCCAGGCCTTGGGGAGAATCCTTCATTGAGGGCCCGCCCGCTCCCAAGGGGCTCCCCTGAGCGCCCTGCCCAGCCGGCTCTTGGGCCACCTTTTTGTGGGTTTGTCATCTTTGGGGTAAAACGATGCCTCTTTTCAGCCTCTTCTGTGCACTTCTTTGTGGGTGACACACGACCTTATGTCTCCCTGGTGCTCTTTGGGTCACTAGTGACGGCAGTGGTCTGTAAAGAGCAAACCCACCTCCTCACCCAGTGAACCACCAGCACCACGGGATGGTTGGTACAGTCCATAAGTGGTCAGTGATGAGCCTTGGTCACAGCCCGTGTCCCACCCTGAGACGTGCGGCCTGCACAACCCTGAGTGAGTGAGGCAGCTCCGGGGCTCCAAGTGGCCGAATAGCCGCTGTCTGCCTCAGGACGGGATTTCCTCAGCAGACACGTCCCGGGCCAGAATGGCTCATGAACACACACACGCACATGCACACACTTTTTCCTTCCCTTTCTCTTTCTTCCTCTGTGTCTCCTTCCTTCATTCTTATTCTCCTCCTCTCCCTCCTTTTCTCCCTCTCCTCCTCCTTGCCCTTTCTCCTTCTGGCCCTCCTCCCAATCCAGGCCATGTGTGTTTTCTCATTAGTGTTCACCTTCTTAATGCCCACCAGCACGGCATCATTCGGGTGGCCCAGGCCCTTGGTGCAGAGGCCCCCACAGTCAGCGGTCAGGGCTCCCATCTGGGATTGGGCCCCTAGCTGTCCTTCTCTTTGATAAGAAGCCCCTCTGCTCCCCTGTGGACTTGGAATCCTAGGGTTTCCGGAGATGTGGTAGGAAGTGATGGGTGGAGGTTACAGTCAGGGAGAGGCCGGCTTCCTTTGAAATCAGTCCTTCCAACAGTGGAAGACGAGGAGGTCAGAGAGAGGCCGGCTGGCTCGAGGCTGCAAGGGAGGATGCAGCAGGTGACCTCCGGCCCATGACCCCAGGAGTCTCCACTTCTCTGGGGTGAGAGCGTGGGACCCCAGCCAGAGGTCTGCTCATTCCCTAACACATGTCCTGTGTGTGTGCCCCTGTCTAGGTGACTACCTGGGAGGAGAGGCCTACTGGGCGGGCGGCCTACACCTCTACACGCCGCTGCCCTTCCGGCCGGGCCAGGGCGGCTTTGGGGATCTCTTTCGGACCCATTTCTTCCTCAATGCAGGAAACCTTTGCAACCTAAACTATGGTAAAGTCGGACTTTCTGGGAGAATGTGCTGCATGCTGTGGGTTCATTTGTTTACTTTCCTTTTCTCCCCTATTAAATTGTAAGGTTCTTGCAGAGAGGGAAGGAGGGAAGAAGGAAGATGGAGGGAAGGAGCATTTATGAGGCACTCACGATGTGCAGAGCACGGTGCCAAGTGCTGGGGATGCAGAAAAGTCAGACGAGGCGGCCCTGCTCCTCGGGGCTCCCGCTGTAAGGGGGCAGACACCCAGAGAGGAGCGGGCAGCCGCAGGGCAGACCAGGCCCTGCTCTGCCTTGGGGCAGTAGTGAGCGGATCTTCTCATGGTCACACTTAGTGAATGTCACTGTCCCCAGGGCTCTTGGGCCCTGCGCCTGGGGCTGAGGGGAGATGATGGCATGATGTGCCCGGCCCATGCTGCCCCGGCTATCTCTCAGGGCTAGGCTGGTTTGCTTGCCCGTGGGTGGCAGCTGGGTGGTACTTGTTGCTGTGAGTCATGAGAAGGTGGGCCCCTTCAGTGATGGCTGTGGGGGCTGGGCTGGAAGCAGGAATGGTGGCATGTGGCTGGCCGCTGGTAGAGTATTATTACTGTAAGTAATAGCCGTGATAATAACTAGCATTTATGTTGGGCCTACTGTGTGCCAAGCATTGGCTCGTTTGATCCTCAACAACCCTGGGAGGTAGATGCTGTTGTTATCCCCATCTTACAGATGAGGAAACTGAGGCAGATGGGTCACACAGCTTCTAAGCGTGTAAGGCCGCACCTCAGGCAGTACGCCCACCTCCCTGCTCTCCCATCTTCCCTGAGTAACAAATTCTTTCTCTTTTTCAGGGGAAGGTCCCAAAGCTCATCTTCGTAAACTGGCTGAGTGTATCCGCTGGTCGTACGGTGCTGGAATTGTCCTCAGACTGGGCAACATCGCTCGACTGGAGCTGAATTACTGCATTCCCATGGGAGTGCAGAGGGGTGACAGGTAGGCTGGCTGGGGGCACTGGCTCCCCATGAGGGACTGCGCAGTGGGGCACACAGCGTGAATCGTTTCAGTGGCGCCTTTGGGAGCCGGACTCTGGGACCAGCAGGTGACAAGTATTGCTCCTGCCTTCTCCCTGGCCAGCAGGACCCAGCCCCTCAGCTGGTGCAGGAATGCTTACAATAATTTTACTAAAATTGACTCATTTCTCTAATCTGTGCAACTGCATTTTAAACACCAACGACTCCAAGCAGATGCACGTGGGGTCTTTTCAGTTTGAGGTGCGGCGTTCATTCTCCCCTCCCCAGCATGTGTCAGTGGACGCAGCTTGGTCCTTCAGGTTTTCCTGCCAAGCTCCCCCCGCTTGCGTGGCCCCGTAGAACTCGGGGGGGAGGGGGGGCCTGGGGGGGCAGACCTGCTCGCTCCTGGGGCAGCTTCCACGTCAAGATGAAGAGGTCGGCAGTGGTGGCTCGTGCTAAAGAGCCAGGGCCTGGAGGGCGGGTGACGGGGGCTTGCTGCTGAGGGCCATTCACTTGACCTTCCATTTTTATTTGTGAGGTACATGCTAAGGTGGTGGGTGTGGCCCCGGAATGAGGGCTCGTGTGTTAACCCCCGTGAAAAATAATCAAGTAGATTCACAGTCAACCAACATTTCAGCAAACCTTGAGAAGTAGTGCAGAGCCCATGCTGGGTTCTGAGGAAGTGTAATCTTTATATCATCCAGCTGTCAGAGAGAGACAGAGAAAGAAGAGAGGAGAGGGAGAGACAGAGAGAGAGAGAAAAATAGGAGAGGGGAGAGAGGGGAGAGGAGAGAGGGAGAGAGAGAGAGGAGTGGCCTTGTGTGCCCTTGGGCAGGTCACTTGGCCATGATTCAGTGTCCTGGCCTGGGAAATTAGGATCGATTTGATCCGGTCTGATCTTTCTGTCCCTACACTTTTGTAACGGATTGGCTAAAAGACAATGTTTTTCTCTGTTTTCTTGTGGAGTCGCTGCTGTCTGTAGTTTTCCTTGAGGCCTCTAGAGGCTTCTCTGAATTCCGTGGCTCTCCTTTTCATCTGACAGTGCTGGTGCCGAATTGCTCTTTAAATTGCTTTACATCCTGCCTTCTATCACCAGTGAAGTTAAAGGCCTGTCCTAGAGATCGTCTTGATTGCAGTGTGGTTTACCTTTGAAGGGAAAGCAGATTCTTGCTTTGACTTTTCAGGGCCTGCCCCTCTGCCCCTTGCCAGGCCCTGGCTGCCAGCACATCTGCCCTGAGATGGGGAGGGCGTGGGAGAAGACCGGCTTTAAAGGGCTGTGAAGGATCTGACAGGATTAGGGGGCCAGAGGAGCTTTGCCCTCCCTCCAAGTGTACTGTTTAGACTTCTGTTATTAAGATGGAAATGCTTATAAACCTTGAGGCAAAACTCAAGTCTTTCACGAGTAAGGTTAGAGGGAGTCAGGGTAGGGAGAAGGCTGTGCTGCCATTTTTGTGGAGTATTTACCATTTTCAGGTACTGGTGCAGAAGTTATCTGAGTTCTAGGAGGGGGTGGGACCCAGGTGAGGTCCTTCCATCCCCGTTCATAAGTGGTGGCTTATTTTTGGATGGTCCCGACAAGTCCTGGGAGTTAGAGAGACGTCATTGCCAGCGTTTATTAAGCACCTACTATGTGCCAGGTACTGTGCTAAGTCCTGGGGCTGTGAAGAAAGATGAAAGACAGCCGGAGCTCTAGGGAGCTCGAAGTCTAAAGGGGCAGACAAGCTGTGCACAGTCAAACTAGAGCTTTGTACAAATTGGGGCTTGTCTCAGAGGGAAGGCACCAGCACGTTGGGGGATGAAGGAGGCCTCTTTGCAGAAGGTGGGACCTCCGAGGAGGCTTGAAGGAAGCCTGGGGTGGAGCTGACGGAGAGAATTCTGGGCTTGGAGGACAGCACTTGAAAATGCCCCGAACTGGAAGACATTGTGTCCTGTTGGAGGAAGAGCGAGGGTGGGGAGGGGGGCAATGTCACTGGGTCCCCGAAGACATGGGGAGGGCTGCGTAACATGTCAGAAGACTGGAAAGGCAGCCTGGGGCCGGGTCATGAAGGACTTGGGGTGCCAAACAGAGGATTTTATGTTTGATCCTGGAGGTGATTAGGAGCCATGGCAGTTGATTTAGGGCTGCCAGTGTCCAGGGCGCCAGGCCTGTAGTCAAGAAGACCTGAGTTCAAATACAGATTCAGACACTCACTAGCTGTGTGACCCTGGGCAAGTCACTTTAACCTCTGTCTGTCTTGGTTTCCTCCACTGTAAAACGGGGATAATAATAACACCTATCTCCAGGTTTGTTGTGAGGATCAAATAAGTTATCTTTGTAAAGTGCTTAGCAGAGTGCCTGGCACATAGTGGGCACTGTATAAATATTATATTGAAGGGGGCTGACATAGCGAGACCTGCACGTTAGGAAGATCACTTTGGTGGCTGAATGGAGAGTGCACTGGAGTGGGGAGGAGAGCCCTGAGGCATGCAGAGTCCCCAACAACTCCTTGTCTAGCCCAGGTGTGAGGCAATGAGGGCCTGCACCTGGGTGGGGGCAGGGTCAGAGGAGAGGGGGGAGTGTCTTCAAGGGGTGTTGCAGAGGGGAGATTGACAGGCCTCAGCACCATATTACATGGGGGGGGTGAGAGAGAGTGAGGAGGCCAGGATGACGCCTAGGTTGGTCAGCTGGGGGCCTGAGAAGTGATTGGGAAGGTAGGAGTGGGGCAGGGTTTGGAGAAAAGATCAGGAGATCACTTGTGGACGTGTTGAGTTTAAGACATCTACAGGCCATCCAGTTGGAGATGCGGGAGGGAAGGTCAGCAGGGAGGTTAGCGCCGGACAAATAGATCTGAGAAACATGCACAGAGATAATAATTGAATTCACGGGAGCCGATGAGACCGCTAAGCAAGCTAGTGCAGAGGAAGAGGGTGAGAGGGCCGAGAGTGGAGCCTTGGGGGATGCTCCCTGACTTGGGTGAAGATCCAGCCAAGAGTACTGAGAAGCGAAGCGGTCAGCCGGGGCGGAGGAGAACTGGGAGAGAGCAGTCACGGAAATCTGGAGAGGCGGGAGATCCACAGGGTCAGCAGCTGCAGGAGGTCGAGGAGGAGGAGGGAGGAAAGACCGTTGGATCTGCCCATTAAGAGAGGATTCGTTACTTTGGAGAGAGCGGCTTCAGTGGAACGATGACTGTAGCAAGTGAAGAGAGAGCAGAAAGGTTGTGGAGGTCCTTACTGTAGAAGGCCTTCTCCAGGACTCTAGCCACAAAGCGAAGAGAGATGGGATGGTAGCTGGTGGGGATGGGGGAGAACTGGGATGGTCATTTGTCAGCAGTGGGGAGAGGGGACGATGGGGTGGAATGAGATTGCTCGGGCAGATAGAGGGATTTAACCTTGGCAAGGGGAAAGGCCACCTCTTTAGGGCGGAAGAGGAGATAGTTGTGAGTTGCGTCTGACTGATGGGAAATGAGGAGGAGGGGAGAAGAGAGAGCCCTTGGCAAATGGCCTCAGCTTTTCCAGTAAACTATGAGGCAAGATCTCAGGTAAGAGGATCTAGGATCACAGCTGTTCAGCTGGGGCCCAGCTTACCTGAGGAGTGGGCCAGAGTCCAGATCTCCTCACTGGCTTCCCGTGCTGCCTTTTCCCTAAAATAGCTTCTGATGGTCACTCTGCTCTCAGGTAATGGGGCCACTCTGTGGGCTGGACTGCAGGGCTTTGTAAAGTGCAGATGGTTTGGAAATCACATTTAAGCCACAGATTCTGACGGAAGTCCCTCCTGGTACTGTTAAAAACAGCTTCAAGATTTGTAGAATTGTGTGTTGTCGTGTTTTCTGAGCAGAGTTTCGTGGTTGCAGCCTTTTTGTGCTGATGCCTCGTGTGACGTGTGTATTTTTCGTTTCAGGATATGTGATGGTGTTCAGTTTGGAGCTGGGATAAGATTTCTGTAATTTTGAAGAAAAACCTGATCCCATTGGAGCCATCCACGAAAGCTTTGGAGTAAATCACTCACTGCTGTCCACTGTTTTCTTACAGCCTCAATCTTTGTGTGATTATTTAAGTGCAAACTTTACAAGAAACCATATTAATAAATTTTAAAAATAATCCTTCGACAGTTGGACTGTGGCTGTAATTTCCTTAAAATAGTGGCCTGTGTACCTCGAGGGGCCAGTGCATAGCCAGGCTGTGTCAGAGAAGGGACTTGAACCCAGGCCTTCTGGGTGTCGAGGCCGGCTTTCTGAACTCTGCACCTCGTAGGAACACAAGAATGAGCGTATTCCTGCCTCCAAGGGGGGAGGAAGGAAAGCCGGGAGAGGAGAGGGCTCTGGGCAAAGCAGCCCTGACCTTTTGCCCAGAACGTGTCCTGAACTCTAACCCATTCATGACGTCCAGGGCGCTTGGGGCTCCTCGCCTGTAGCCTTGTCTCTCCCTGCCCCCGTACCTGTGTGAGTACTCAGTATAGATGGGGAAGAGATTTGCCTAAGGATGCCTAGGGGGGACTGCAGCCCAGTCTTACAACTGCATGCTTTTTGCCACGTAGTCTCGTTTGGGAATGCAGCCATTCCCAGCCTTTCTGAACATTCAGTCCCTCACGACGAGTCACCAGGCCTGGATCTGCACCAGCCAGCCCAAGGTTACTGGGTCAGACCTCATCGGCCCACTTTAAGGATCAAAGCCTCGGTGTTGGCTGTGGTTAAAGCAGTAGCTGCAGGGAAGAAGGACCAGGGGAAGAGTTCGCTAGTTTATGAGGCAGACACACCATGAATAGAGCATGTTCCCAACTCACCACTTGTGCAGTTTGGAATCCTGGGTTCCTCTGCTCTGGAAAACAAAGCCTCCAAGTAACTGCTGCGCCGTTTCCAAACACCATGAATTAAGGGCTGGGCTGGCTGTTAAATCTGATCAGGACAGACTTTCCCTGCAGGTCTGATTTCAGAGGGTCTGTCCTTGTGGGCCAAAGAGGGAATCCAGAGATTGATTCAGTGTGCAAACCTTCAGTGCTTTGTGGAGCAGGGTGGGGTCTCTCCAGGGTGGAGCCCGTTCTTTCCTGAAAGCAGATTGGGCCCAGCTGTCTACAGTGGCCACAGGAGGGGCTCATGTGTGTGCTCACTTCGCCTCCCTCCCTCAGACAACTGAAGAAAATGGTCAGAAGTTGGGGAAAATGAAGGGTTGTTCAGGCAGGCAGAACAGAAAAAAAAAATCAGGCTTCTGGCAAAGTTGTTTTGATGAGTCCCCTGAAACGGAAAATAGATAGGGCCACAGGATTAGCAGAGACTTTTGAGAGGCAATATAGTGCAGTGAGTAGAGCCTGGGACTTGGAGGCAGGGAGATCTGAGTTCAAATCCTGCCTCAGACCCTTACTGGCTGTATGACCTCAGTTCAGAACTGAGCTTCAGTTCCTTATCAGTAAAGTGGACCTACCTTGGATAAGCCCTATGAGCCTCATAGCATCATCTTCAGAGATCTTGAGGGGGAAAGGAGAAGGGAATAAGCATTTGTGAAGTGCCTACTATATGCCACGGCTTTAACAAACAGTTCATCCTCACAACAACCTTGTGAGGTAGGCGCTTTCCTTTTCCCCATTTACAGATGAAGAAACTGAGGCAGAGTGGTCAAATGACTTGCCCGGGGTCACACAGCTAGAAAACCTCTGAGGAGGAATTGGAACCTAGGTCTCTCTGCCTCCAAGTTCGGGGCCTTATCTGTGGTAGCACCCGGTGTTTAGGAAGGAGGTCCCATAGAGTTGATCTCCAGCATCCTTTTCCTCCCCATGCCTGGAGAGCTCTAATAGTGTCCTAATCGGTCTTACTGCTTTCTATCTCGCTGCCTCCCCCACCTGCAGTCCGTTGGCATCAGTGTCCACAAATCTGGCTGATGAAGAGACCTAGTCCTGCCCTCCCACTCGGTATCACCTCACACGGCTCCCCCAGGTCTTTATTTTGGAGAGAAGCCGAGCTCCTTAGTGTCCGAGATCTGGAGGTTTCCATAATCTGGTTCCAAGCTTTCCTTCTGGCCTTATCTCAAAATGCTGTTGTTGTTCCGTGTTCCAGTTGTATCTGACTCTTGGTGACCCCACTGGGGGTTTTCTTGGCAAAGATACTGGAGCAGTTTGCCATTTCTTCTCCAGCTCATTTTACAGAAGAGGAAACTGAGGCACACAGGGTGAAGTGACTTGCCTAGGGTCACACAGTCTGAGGTCACATTTGAACTCAGTTCTTCCCTACCCTGGGCCCAGCACTATGGCGCCACCTAGCGGCCCATCTCATAAAATAGGCCCCTCCAAACCAGACTAGTGGCTATCGGATGAACAAATGACATTCCCTGCACGTGGATTCCCTCCCTCTCCTCCCAATCCGTCTGCCTGTTGGAAACATGCCTACCCTTCCAGACTCCACCCAGACGCCCCCGCTTCTCTGTCCCTCCATTTGAAAACGGCCACTTCTTCCAGAACTGTGGTCGTGCCTCTCTCCTGCTGTCCTCCTGGGATAGCCAGGGCCGAGCCCGTCGTTTCATTAATACGGGAGGCCCCAGTGAGGAGACGCCCTCCACCAATGCAGATTGGCACCTGCTCTGAGCCCGGGGCACTTAGCCGGGACATGCCCTGCCCCAGGACAGGAGTCCTTCAGGAGGGCCTGCTGTCTGCATCATGGGAGGGAATGCCAACTTTGAGGAGTGCAAGATCCCACTTGATGCTCAGTGTACTTAGGCTTCCCTGACTCCTGCCTCTGCCCCGCGCCCCCCGCAGGTGCCTCGTTTTGGTTTTGCACTTGATTACACGGGTACATGCCATCTTCCCCGACGGAATGTAACCTCCTTGTAGCTACAGCTCCTGAAAGATTAGCCCTTTTGAAGCTGGACCCTTCCTCCCTTCCCAGCCCTCTTCCTCACTCCTGCCCCTGTACTCTGGGCTCCAGGGCCGCTGACCTCCTTGGTGCGCTGACCCGTCTCTGACCTGCCAAGGCCAGGAGCTGGTGCAACCACTTGGTGGCATTGGGCTCCCCTGAGCAGCCCTTCCCTCGGAATTCTTCCTCCTCTGTGACGTCTTCTCTTTCCTGATTCTCCTCCCACCCGTCTGAGCGCTCCTCCTCAGTCTCCTTGGCCCCCGAAGCTTGGGGCACATCGTCCATTCTGGACCCTTCTCTCCTCTCCCCTTCTACCCTCTCCTGGTGATCAGATCAGCTCTGAGGGGTTGAATCAGCATTTCTAGGCAAATGACTTCTCCCAGGTCTGTAGACTCAGCCCTAATCCCTATTCGGATTTCATACAGCCCTTTGTACCATCACGCAAAGGTGTGTCATGTTGCGGAGCAGAAGTGGGGTGTAGTGGATAAAGAGGTGGCCTCGGAATGAGGAAGATCTGAGTTCAAGTCCTGCCACAAGGCTGTGTGACCCTGGACAAGTCCTATTCCCTCTTAGGGCCTGAGGCAGCTCTCGAAGACTATCCACATTTCAGAAGGGTCGCTGGATCTCCCTACCTTAAAGAAATCGCAGGTCTGCCACCAATCATAGATCCGGTGTTGGAAGGGCCCCAAGAGGCCGTCTTGCCCAGCCCCTTCATTTGTCAACTGAGGAAACTGAGATCCGCAGAGTAGGGCAAGTGACTTGTCCAAGGTCACGTAGGTGGAAGAACTGGAATTTGAATGCAGGTCCTCTAGTATCAGAAGCAGTCCCCTTCCACTATGTCATGTTTGCTCTTTCTCTGTCTCTGGCTGTCTCTGTTTCTGTCTCTCCCCCTTCTCTGGCTTCCTCCCTCTTCTCTCCCCACCCCAATCTGTCTGCCTGTCTGTCTCTGTCTTATCTGTCTTTCTCTCCCCCCATCCCTCTGGCCCCCCCCCTGCCCCCCCCCCCCCCCCATCTGTCTGTCTCTCGGCACAGACCCTGTCTCATGAAACTTTGGATTTCCCCCCAGCATCTTGTGCAGGCAGGCCTTTGCTGAATCGAGCAGATACTAAAAACTCCTTTGCCACGAATTTATCCTAGCAGAGCAGTTACTGAGGCCTTGGGGCGGCCCCTGAACTGGGGTCGAACAAACAGCACTTTTCCTTCAAACAAGGGAATAATGACTGGCTTCGTTGGCCGTCTCCTGAGCCAGGAGTCAGAAGACAAGGCCTCCTCTCGACGGAGGAATAAAGAGTCGTAGGTTTTGTCCGGAAAGCACGTTCCATCCATCTCGCCCACTTCTCAAACGATAGCTTCGCTTGCACTTTCTTCTCAGTCCACGGCTTCTAATAGAGGTTTGCCATTAGATGGATATGCTGATCAATCAAAATCTTCTGATCTCTCATGGTTGGGATAATACCTGGCCAGGAGTCATCCATCCCTGCATTCCAAGGTGACCTCCCTATATCGAGACAGAGACCTACATACAATTGCTTCAGTCTCATTACCATACTGAGAAATTACAGTTCATTTAGACTTAATTTCCCTGAAATACTACAATGGGAGGACGGGAACTGGAAATATGAAAGCATAATGAGTCGATGTTTTGTTATGGGTGCAGGGCATGTACGGATTTTAGCTGGTGAGCCATTTTATCTGGGAGGGAAACTTAGAAATCAGACAGTGATGGCTTTCCCTGAAATAATGTGGAGTCTCGTAAGAGCAGAGACCTCTGACGCACTACTCTGGGGGATTCCCTGAGCGCTCTTCCAGAGCAGGATGGAGCAGCTGTGTGGCAGGCCAGAAGGGGCTCAGATCTGGCTCTTCTTTCCATGTTCAGTCCAGGACCCTCATCTCTTAATGCCTCTCGCCAGGCACCTTCATCAGTCCCCCTCCCTCCAGTCTCAAACCGCCTCCTCAATCCTTACTATTCAGAGTTGCTCGTTTAAGAGAAAAGATGATTGACACAGGGAGCTCTCAGGGACAAAACCCCTTCCAATGGGAACACATAGTCTTAGCGAGCTCTTTGAGACACTGTGAAGTGAAACGGCTTGCCCACATGCATCAGAGGCATAAAGCAAGGTCATTGCTTTATCCACAGTATCCCCTGCTGCCTCTCACAGCGGCCCATAGAGTGTCCTTCAATGCCATTTTAATTAAATCACCGCCATGCTCAGGAGTCTGCAGTGGCTTCATTAGATGCTCCAAAGGGCAGAGGACTATAGATTAGGTCTCT